CTAATTGAAAAAAAAAATTAAATAGTCTTAAATATTGAAGTGATTTTAGTTTTATCTTTATTTTTTATATAGCATGCATATACGAGGGTCATTCAAAAAGTTCGTAGAATTTTGTCCTAACTTTTTTATTTAACGTCATATTATATCCAAATTTGGTACAAATATTTTAACAACAGATTCAAATAATTTGAGTAAAAAAATTGGAATGTATCCTCATATTTATTAAAATTACCAAGGATTAAGAACAGCAAAAATGGGGTCACGGAGCACCGTCAAAATTGAGTAATTTTCTACTTTTCACTTTACAGTATTTACAGCTATACCTCTAATAAATTGAGCTGAAACGAAATAAAATTTACATTTTTAAATAAAGTATTGCTGTATTAATTAAAATGAAATCAGGTTAATTAATATATCGTTTCATTTAAAAGATATCAGCTTCTAAATACATATTGACTTGATTAAAAAAGGCAAAAAACCATGACGTTGGAGGACGTCACGGAGCAGCAAGTAGCAATAAAATTAGACTTTACCTTCGGGAAACTTTTTCTACAAGCTTAAAAAATCCTTATAAATCAGGATCTGTCTGAAAAAAAAATCTGTGTATTTGTATTAAGTTGAAAATACAATTTTTGAGTGGTAGCGAGTTTGAATCGGACGATGGATTGTCTGCAAAGAAACAGGTTAAAGTTAAAAATATTGTCAAAAGAGTTTAGAACGTCATTGAACGTGATGTGTGCTTCAATGTTGCAGAAATAATAAAGTTGCATGGGAAATCAAAAAATTTGAAAACAATAACATTTTAATTCAAGCTATATTTGTATAATTGATAGCAAACCAGGTGTTAAGTATTGTGGATATGTGTTTTGAATGGAGAAGACACAACACACCGTGTTTGAAATAACAAAAATGTGTATACTTTTGACAAACTTTCTCAGCGTTGTTTTTGACGTTACAATATTGGTTAACCGTGCTCCGTGGTAACAAAACATGTTGCTTTTAATTTTGGCTAACGTGAGTCCTGTTTAATCAAATGGAATGAAACTTCACACTTCGACAAAATAAATGTTTATGTTTACGAAAATGTGTTGATCTATAATCTTGTAATAATCATATGACGTTGCGAAGCATTGTCTACGTATTTTTTGAATGACCCTCGTAATATCTTTTTTTCAATATCTATTTTCTTTTTTTTCTCTGTAGCTCAGATGGCAAAATGACTTGTTGTGCAGGTTATAAATTGGACAATAAAACTGCGAAATGTGTCGGTAAGATATATTTATACAAGCATATAATTTAGTTATATTGGCAAAATGTATGTTTGCTGATGTTTATTTCACACAACAGTATTTTAGTTTTACAAGACAACATCCGAAAAGATCAAATCGTTTCTTCATTATCCTTGTTGGTTGTCCTATATGTACGTTTCCAAAAATCTTCCCTTGGATCCTTTGAAATTTATTTTTAAAAAAAACGTTTATTTTCCCATGACACATCAATGAAGATTGGCTTCATGTAATAATCCAGAGTGAAGAATCATTACTAATGTCCTCATGATACTTCAAGAATCGAATTTATTGCTTAGTTGAATGTAATATTTTTCTGTCTGCAATCAGAAAAAAATAACGTTTAAAAGCAATCGACTTCATTGCGAAAAGAGTAAACTTAGTATTTAAAATGTTGGCCAAACCTCTCCTTTTAACCATTTTTGATCTGAAATTAATATTACATGTCAAGAGGTTGGACATCCCCATTAATAGATACATGTAGACGTCGAAGTTAACCTTTGGTATTACTTACCTACACAAAACAAAAGAAATAATTTTTTTGTGTAAAAGATAAGCAAAGATTAGATTTTTACATGTATTTACTACGCTTTCAGTATCGATTGAATTATTATTTACTTTTGTTTTGTTCCAAACAAAAAAAAAACAAGAGTGCCCAATCGGATACCATGGTATAAACTGTGAAACGCCTTGTCTGTATCCAAGCTATGGAAGATTTTGTCAGGAAGAGTGTTCTTGTAACAATGCTAGCAGATGTGATCCCATTATTGGATGCACAGCTACTTGTAAGTAAAATAAGGGAAGAATTGACTTTGGGTGTTCAGGGATGGGTTAGACTATGTGAGAGGTTCGGGGTAAGTAAGGTTGTGAGGGTGTGTGACAATCACTTTAATGAAATCGAAAGAAAGGATGGTGCAATTTATTCAATTCATATTTATTCAAACTGAATTAAAAATCTACAATAATTTTCAAGAAATAATACATGATTTTAAATATACTGATTTGTAATAGTCATCCAACGTATGAAGTTTTCACACTGTCGCACACAAAAATTATCGATGACATTAGATGTCTTATTAACATGATTTATGTTCAAGGTGTCGGCATTTTGACTCTCTCTCTCTCTCTGTCTCTCTCTCTCTCTCTCTCTCTCATAATGATAATACTTTAGGGCAACGACTATTATACAGAAGCATAATTGTTTTTCAAACAGAAAACATATATACATGTAAATAAAGAAAAGTCGTGTTTGAACTCCGGAAAAGGATTAGAATCAACAAGCCAAACTGGACAAAACTTGAACTTGAAGGTTTGTAATTTGTCGGATGGGTTGGTATCGGCTTGCGATCACATTTGTTAACGTTGTTTTAACAAAAGGTACATCTTTCAAAATTTAACAAGCTCGAATCAGCATTTTAAGCATCTCCTAGATAACATCTTAATTAGTTGTTATTATAATCGATTCGTACTTCACTTATAGTTTGTACGTAATTGAGCAATTCGCTTCAATATGTCTTAAAGATAGGGCACTGCCTGACAACACTTTATTTAATGTGTATAATTTTTACAGGTATATACATTGTTATCTTTAAATCTTCTCTTTTTTTCATGTAAATATCACGTCGAGGAAATCATGCCACGCAAACGACAGACAACAGAATGGACAGTGCTCACAAGAGCACCCTCCAAATGAGCAAGGCAGTGCCCCCGTCCTAAGTTTGATCTACCACAGGAAGCTGCATGACCAGTGGTAGAGGCAAAACCAGTATTATAGACACAGCCAGTGCCACAACAGATTGTCCAACAAAGCCCCAAGCAGATTGGAGAAGGTAGTGAAATCATACAATTTACAATCGATTCAGGACATGCATGTTAACGACTCGACTAAATAAAATATCATGCAAGGGAAATTCATTCACTCCACTCACTCCTGCCACCATCTGGCGGTCAAGGAAATAAACAAATCATGCACTCAACCCATACACATCAGCCAACCAACATTCAGGGTTCCAATCTCAAAAGCAACAACAGAGATCACAGCAAAACCAGTCCCAAAAAATTAATGGTGGGTTCAGTCAGAAGTATATGGGATCTTGGAAAAACCCAAATCAATAAATTGTTCTTTGAAAATTACTTGGTGAAATATCCAAACAGACTTGGAGCTAATAAATTACGGTACTAGGAGGATTTTCAGTGGGATGCGATGGATTGTTGAACAAATGACAAAGGTTTTTACCATTGACCATTATCTAGATGACTTTATTTTTGCTGTTGAGGATTTTATCTTCTGTTCAAAATAAATAGGCACATTTAAACAAATTTCTGAAGAACTGGGGGTTCCATTGGCTGAATATTAATTTTTTGGCCTTACACATATTCTTATATTTCGATGGTTGGCATCAGTACTTCGGGGCTATTTAGATTAAAAGGTATTAAACACGGATGCAATTGCAATTATTGCTAGGAAAGTTTAATTTCTTTACTTTTGGCCATTGCGCCGAGTAGCGCATTTGTTAGGCGAATGCTTGATGCCACCTTTGGAGTGCATCAGCCTCCTCATTTTATTAAGCTTAATCATGAAATGAAAGAAAATATGCGGTTATGCCTCAAACAATTGCAAAATTTTAACGGTGAAGTGTACTAAATGTATTCTAGTCAGACTGAGTGGTCCTCAAACTTAGTCCTACAGTTGTTTACTTATGGTGCAGGTGCCCATAATCTGCGCTGCAGGTGATATTTTCAAGGGAATCGTGTCATTTTCTTGGCATGCAGAATGGCGTAAGACAAACATTCTTTTAGACATGACAACTCTAGAGCTGATACCAGTTGTTTTGGCTGTAAGTCTATAAAAAATGGTCATTATTCTCAACAAACATCCAGAGTTATGTTCCTGCTACGTCCTTTCATATTCGATGAATGTCGTATGTTATGATGAATGATGTATGTTAAAATGATGAATGATGTATGTTAAAAAAATTTGCTTTAGGACAGTCCACATAAAAACAAAATTAATACAAATGCTTATTCAATTTCTCGTAAACAGTGGCACCGCTTTCGGCGGAGAGCACCTCATGCACAGGCAACACCTTTGCCAGTTCCAGCAAGCTTTCAGCACCTAAACTTCAATCTGAAGTAGATAGACGCCTTCATCCAACAATCTCTCAAAACGCTTATAGGTCATACCAATTTCTGCAGTCATATTGGTCATAATATTTCTTGGCCGCCACCAATAGAGTACAGTTTGTAGCTTATTTGTCTGGAAAAGGATCAACATATGCAACTGTCTTACTAATGCCTAGGTCACATTTCCCGACCGGTTGCCGTAGACCGGTGGTAATCGGTAGTAATCCGTGGTGTTAACGATGTCCCAACATCGGTCCACATCGGCCAAGTAGTCCTTAAAATATCAGTCACATTATCCAGCGATGGGTATCCGATTGACAACCAATGCGTTTTATGAGGAAAAATGGCGTGGTTGCCGGCCGGACTTACAAAGGCTCAGCGATGCATTGCTAATCATAAAACAATGTTCCAGGATTATCGGCCGATGTATATTACATCGCTCATACATTAGTGAACATTGTTCGTAAATCGGTCGACTACGGGCCAATGTTTGGTCGAACATCGACCAATGATCGGTCGTTATCTGTTGAACACCACTAAACTCCCCGATGACCCCAGATTCAACGGATATTGGACAATGCTCGGGCATACATCGGTCGATCCTGGAAAGATGTGTTAATGATGGGTTGACGATGAGGAGAGATGTGAGGCATCGTTGGAGACATCGCTGATTTTTAACTACGAATTTTTTCCTACCGATGACCCCACCGATTTGCAAAAAAGACTCAGTCACTGTCCGACCACTAGTGGTGCCCGGCCGGCAACCACGCCATTTTCATCAAAAACACATCGGTTACTCATCGTATACCCCATCTTTGGATAATGTGACTTATACTTAAGCAGGTTTGTCTCTCATTGCAAAACTTCCATGTTATCAGGACCAAATCGACTTGTTTATTTTATCCAAGTTATAAGAAGGGTTAATGTAGAACCTACGTCGTATGCCATTATACCTAATGAATGTGTTTCGCATGTGCAAGATCCATTATGACGTCATAATTAATTCAATGTCACTTTTTACCGTACTTTACAACTTCTATAAAAATTCACAGAATTCAATTTAAAATCATGCCGAAAAATCTTCATTTAATCTATATATTTCTTGGTTATAATGCTTAATGATGATATATTTCCTGAATTAGAGAAAGTTGCAAGCAACTTTCATTTACTAGATCTTGACTACTGACCTTAATTTTTTGAGTTGACAAATCTAAGATCTAAGAATGAAATTACAATGTATACAATATACTGTAACAATGTAAAGTTATGTAACTAGTTGGAATGATTGCAAAATTCCTAAGAAATCTTGCCAACTTAACATATAGTGTAATATCCATTTTGTGATACAATGTACCTATCATGAAATGATGTGCATTTTTTTTATAACCATTTCTTCGTTATTCATATTCTTGGTGTTTGATTACAGATCCACTGGATAAAGTAAAATCAATCTCCTATGAAAGCATCCTCAGGAAATGTAAATTTAAGTTTGTTCAAATAATGACCCCTGGTTGTTGGTGGGTCACAATGGATGATCAAAGTTTTATAAAGGAATGTATAGGGATATATTAAATATGATAAAAAAACATGCCCACATGATTACAAAAAGTGATTAAAATATATACCTTTTGCCTCCAACTAATGAGACATGTTATTAAACGATGCTAATATTCTTGACCTTTTTGCACTTTCACGGGATATTATTAAATGACTGTTTGGGGGGTTACTTCAGATTAAAATGTTTATCAAAAATTGTTCTTTTTTATTTAAAAAGATCAAATTAATTAGAAAAATTGTAATTTTTATGAAAAGTAATTTGGCAAAATTTCAAATTAAATTGGGACGCCGAGCTATATATAAAAAGGTTAAAATAAATTGTGTGTACCGACAAGAAAAGCTCTAAATAGGCTAAAAAAATTATATGCAGACAGAAATGATGTACAAGGATTGAGTACCAATGTGTTCAAATGGTAGTAGCTTTGTAAAAATGCAAGGATTAAAATTGTTGACACTCAACTCTTGCGATACCCTAATACCCAATTTGTGGAAATTGCGTCTACGGATTTGGCATTATTTCTTAAGCTGACAGCTTAACTGCTCAGTTTAAGATTTCACTAATATATGAAAAGATATAAAAGTCATTTTATAGATAAGTAACTTCTTTGAATGATTTTAATATATTTGACGGAAAGAGACATGAAAATTCTATAGAAATGAAAGACATTTAGAGCATTGACAAAGCTTAAAGCCCGAGATAATAAACACCGCTTTCAGATTTACCTAGTCTGTATCCCCTGTCAATCAAATTGTTTAAGGTCCAACATTGGGTACTTGAAATGTAATTGTATGTAATTTTAAAAAACCATCGTTTTTGCTATTTTTTTACAATTGGATACAGAATGTACATTTGCTAAAAATAGGGCCAAGCAACTTTTTACGATGTCGAATTCTACTAATTTTATGATGAACAATAGACCATCAAGCTGTACAGGTAATACCCAAGGGCTTCCTGTGTATACTGTTTGTGTATAGGGGTTAGCGCTTCCCACGGTCTGCACGATCGTCAATACCTCGGGGTGCCACGCATGTAAAATTTAGTCCCTCCCCTTACCTGAGAAAACTGTACGGTTAAAAATCTCGGCCTTTAAATGATTGGAACATAAGTTGTCACGTCACCTTACGTCAAGCAATTGTTCCGTTAATGGTAGAACCGCAGTGTAAAATCCATTGTATTTTTTTTCAAACGTGAAGTAATTGACTTCATTTTTACAAGCTAATAATCAAATAATTGGAATTTATGCCAACCAAGTATTAATGAATTATATTTAGCCAGAGTCCGAGCTTGATTTGCGAAAATTAGACACAATACCCATATTGTGTGAAAAGGTCATTTATTCACAAAAAGTACATATCTCATACTATTGAATATTATATAATAGGCATATACAAAAATACATCATATGATATGATTGAATAAATGACATAGATTCGCAAAGGTGGGGATAAATATGTTGCCACCTAAAAACAAAAGCATCTAGAGATTCTGACAGAAAATGTGGGAGGTAAGTGGGCGGGATTTAAATCGTCCTTGCAGTGCGCAGCCCAATCAAGGAATGCCGCAAACGATTCAGACCCCTGGAAAATCCCGGGGCGACACATATTCAAAGACCAATTAAAAGCGCGCATTCCGAGGTATGCAAAATGATGCAGAGTTAACTGCGGCTAACAGCGAAGATTTACTCGCACTGAGTCATGTTTCATTTCCGGTAATAGATTACGCGTAAACTCTAGATGCTTGAGTTGAATAACAATATGACAAATACAAAATAAAATACTTATATCTAAACTTGTTGTCATAAACTATTTTATTTTCCCATAAAATTAATTTTATGCCAACCAAGTATTAATGAATTATATCCAGCCAGAGTCCGAGCTTGATTTGCGAAAATTAGACACAATACCCATATTGTGTGAAAAGGTCATTTATTCACAAAAAGTACATATCTCATACTATTGAATATTATATAATAGGCATATACAAAAATACATCATATGATATGATTGAATAAATGACATAGATTCGCAAAGGTGGGGATAAATATGTTGCCACCCATCACCTCTGAAAGAGGGGATCCCCCACCCGAGGACTCTGGCAGATATGACAAGTCAGAAACGGATATATTAAAAAAAAATTAAAATAAAATAATCTATAGCTAAAAGGAAAATTATACACACATATTGATATGCAGAATAATATAAGCGCTAATACCTTGCTTAACAAATCAAAACATTATCTTAATTAAACGTTACAGCTCAAAATGCATAAATGAAGATAAATCAGAGACAACCCTTGAAACATATCAATATAATTAGTTAGATGCAATCTTTAATGCTATTGAAAAGGTACACACATCAATAATTATATGTAATTTAATGACGGCAGGCAATGCTGTCCCAAGTTTCAAAGTTCAGCGTATCTCCAAATGTTCAAAATTGCTGATGCAAACCGATACCGACCAATTAAGAGTACATAAATGTCTAAAACTTCGCTGCTGACAGGCAATGCTGGCCCAGTCTCACATATAGTTAATTATGTTAGTGTAAGAAAGTAATTACTGGCAGGCAGTGCTAACCCAGCTTTAAAACAGAAACATATTAAGTACGTAATGTCAAAACTAGCAGGCAGTGCTGACCCAGTAAACAATTTGTGGTCACAGGTGGCAGGTAATACTGACCCATATACCAGGGAAATTAAAGATTGAATTAGCACTTCAAAAGTTATGCATACGAATGTACTTTAGAAATGCATCTGATTTCCATCTTCCCATATTCTGAATGACACTTAACGGAACTCCCCTTGCTGCGGCAGACGTGGCTGCTCCTATACGAAAACTATGACCTTTGTAAAATCTATTATCCAGACCTATAAATGAAACAGCTGATCCGAGAACTGAGTTAAAGAAAGAACGAGAAATAGGAGTTCCACATTTAAATTGAAACAAGGGACCTTTAGTGTGATTGAATGCCTTCACGTATTTGTAAAGTGCATAGACTGGGCAAGCCTGATTATTACACTGCCTTGGGATAAAAATAGTTTTAGGGTGTAGGTCACTATGTTTATAGTGAACAAGAATTATCGACATTCCCAATAATGATGCATTATCCCATTCAAAAGATAGATTTTCAAATTGCAAAACGGCCGAGGACTCCGATGACGACTTGACCGTAATCTCACCCACTCTTAAAAATGCGTAAAAGGCTAACAAAAACATTGCAGTTATCAGCAGTTGATTATCACAATTTGACACGACGTATGGAATTGATGAAATTAATCTTGTTAATATGTCTTTTGTTATTGGAAGTCTACAATCCACTGAACCCCTAATATTGTGCGCACCTTTCAAAATCTTTTTTATTAAGAAGTTGTTAGTAGGGTCATTCAGACTGTTGGCTTTGTGTACAAAACTAATCGCAGACATGTGTGTTGCTATTGTGGATGGGCTATAACCCTTCAAAAACAAATAGGCTATATATTGAGTCAACATCACATGGGAAGATGGAAATGCCTGACACTCTTGGAAATAAATGTTGCAAAACTGCACATAATTTTGAACAAATCTGTTATACGATGTAAATGTGGCGGATGACAGTGATGCCCTTAACAGGGATGTAACTAAACTATCAAGAAGTGATCTGGGATATTGGTTGGACAAGGGGCCAACCATGGTGCCAATTTGTGAGCTTTCTGAAAAAGAAAGCGAGAAAGGAGATCACAAATTATGTTATGTTTCCCCTTGATATGTTTAGCTCGGAAGAAGATGTTATATTTCAATGCGGCTAAAACTAAACGCCTCACCAATTTCATGACTATTTTGTTCTTTGATGAAGTTTTATTGATTATATCGACAACGGCGGCATTATCCGTAAAAAATAATATTCTATGGTTCTTTAAATAATGACCCCACAATTCCAAAGCTAACACTATAGGAAACAGTTCTTTGGCAGTAATATGCCAAGACTCCATGTCATTTGACCACTCGCCAGTGAACCATTTACAGCCAAAAACAGCTGCATAACCTCCATGCACACCTGCAGCATCAGAATATAATTTAATTGTATCTGATGAAACCCATTTATCAAATAAAAAACAGGACTTTCCGTTAAAATTATCAATAAAAGTAGACCAGGCATGCAAGTCTGACCTAGCTTCAGCATTAAGTGTAATGCGGTATGTCGGACAAGAATGTCCGGTTGTAAGGTCGATCAGCCTACGTAGGAAAGCCCTGCCTGGAATAACAACACTACAGGCAAAGTTTAATAACCCAATTAGTGACTGGAGCTCTTGTAAAGAAATGCTGCGTTTTTTCTTAAAAGTATGCAAAATACCAGATATTTTATCTAGGAAAGGACAAATCATGAATGACACGATATTTTCCTACTTCTTTTTTAGGAACCAAACCTAAAGGTGAACAAACAAAATTTGGAAAGGGGGGTTGATCATAAGGACCTCTATATCGACCTAATTTTATTTCCTTATTTATTTTTTCCCAGACAATTTCGGGGTTCTCAATAGCACTTTTATGATTTCTACATTTCAAAACTGACTGTATGGAAGGTCCAGCACCAATACGAAATCCAACGGAAAAACCCGAGAGTAAAAAATCTCTGTCAAATTTATTGTAGCCATTAAGATGATACGCTAACCTATCACACTTCACTGGTGTTTTGAGATTTTGGGGAAATTTGTGATTTCTTCGCAGAGGTACATGTGTCTGATGCATGCTTTTTGCCACAGTGTACGCACAGGTGTTTGAGTTTACACTCTTTGAAACCACACTGCCCTGTAGCACAGAATCTCCAGCAGAAACCTTTAGGGTATTCTGGTCTCTGCTGGATCCTGCCAAGAAAGGGGGCTTTGCCACGCTTTGAATTAGAGAAGAGGTTGTAAAGGCCAGATTTGTTCTGGCTTGTTGCCACCCGCCACAACTCATCATGCATAACTGACCACTCGAGTTTGTGGACTTGACGAAGTTTTCTGAACTCTTCGTCATAGAACCTTGCCGCCTGGAAACCAAAGTCTAATGCCAATTTTCTGATGTTGTTTCCATACTTTATTAGGTCTAAAGCGAGCGATGGGTATTTTGTAATATATAGGGACATGTAAATATCAAATGCATTGTTCCATTGATGGACATTGAACAGTGTCTTTATAGGAGTTGAATGACAGTTTGTTAGAAGTTTGACACCTGACGAAATATCATGCACTTCGTCAGGTCGCTTGACGTGTGGTAACAAGGCGGCAAGGTCTACATATACATCATCGAAAACGGAATTCTTAAGTGTGTCACTTACATGATAAGCTAATGGTAAAGCATTTTTGACAAGAGAAATGTTGCTAAAATTTACAGGTATTGTTGTACTACCTTCGACAGAACTAACAGATGGTAAATTATTGTCACTGGTGGCTGATGGTACAGGTTGGCTGATCGTAGAGCGTGAGGACAGGTTGCCAATTAAAGACAGCAGATCTTGCGGCATAGGTGTAACACTGGGCGGCTGGCTAGTGACAGTTTGTAAGTTTGGATGGTCGATGCCAGGCGTTGTTGAAGGAGCGGACACAGACTGGGTTGACGAAACGGGCTCATTAATAACGTTAACAGTAGAATTTTGAATTTTCTTAAGAAGGGCCTCTGCAATTTCGTCTGCGGAGGGAACATTTACGTGCTGAGAGGGAACCGATGAGTGTTGTTCAGGGACACACGGGTTAGGTGCATTGGGCGGAGCTGCCCTCTTTGAAGAACGCGCCCGTTTAGTATTTGATCCATTTTGGTCTTGCGGGGCCACCTGCACACGTTTTCTCCCTCTAGGCATGGTCACCTAAGTTAAGCAAAGTGTAGACACAATCAAATAAAGTTTTGTTCAATTTTTTAGCACCCATTGCCTGTAAATACCTTCAAGGTTAGGCAATATTCAGAAAATAATAAGACCCGAGAACCGTGTGCCACGAGCTTATAGAGGGCTCACGACCCACAATATACAACAGAGTGGGGATGTGAGCAACCGTAAATGCATAATATTTTATGCAACATAATAAAGAACAAAGGCACAAATCAAATGAGCAATTGTTCAACCACACTCACGTATGCTTCTCCTGTCAAGTATACATGTGAGCGACCATAAGCAAGGGTCACCCATAACAGGAACTTAATGCATACTAATGTGAGAAACCAATGAGATAAACACACACCACTGCTAAGTATTGCAGATAAAATGTGTACACACAACAGCTGTTGTGAAATATAAACAAGCAGCACAAAAGTCTAGGGTCAAATGATTGTCCGAATACCATAAACAACATCATTAAATTAAACAGTGTAAAATAATATTATCAGGGTGTTATGCCCTGTTAGATACATTAAAACTTAAAAACAACCACGTCTATGACAAATACCAATGGCAGATCTAATGCTCTTTGTATATTTCAGCATTCCTAATGGATTCAAATGCACCCCATCACAGAGCATAAGAGATCTGCTGTTTTGTCAAAAACCGCGGTGGTGCCAAAAGGTAATCTTTGGATTGCCTCGGCATAAATGTTCAATATGTTTGTTAACTTGACAAACAATGTTGTTAAAGAGTTTCCCGCAACGGCGAGAAAACCTTCGCAACAATTGACCAATGATAATATGCTTAACGTTGTAAGCTTGAACTATAAATGAGGCGAAAGAAACAATATCGCGCGCTAATTTTGCAGGATCCGAGTCAACTCGAATGTCATTGCCTCCGACCTGCAGAAAAAGCACTTGAGGTAAAAACTTCTCTAGGATATTCATATAACAAGGTTTTTGCAAACATTTCTGACCCAGTCGGACAGTTCCACCCCCAATTCCTTTAAAACTAACAAGAAATTGACCGGCATCGAGAGATAAATTTTTCCACTCTCTGTGAGATATGATAAATTCGTCAAGACGACGAATGAAGGAATGACCAAAAACTAACACCCGACAGGTCATAATGAATGCAAAAATATATTATAAAAGAATTATGGTTCGCCTATACCTTTTAAATCGTCCTTGCAGTGCGCAGCCCAATCAAGGAATGCCGCAAACGATTCAGACCCCTGGAAAATCCCGGGGCGACACATATTCAAAAGGACCAAAGTAATTGACTTCATTTTTACAAGCTAATAATCAAATAATTGGAATTTGATCATTCGTCATACCTCAAAACATACAACAATTTTTCCGCAAATAATGTGTTTGTGATCCTTTCTAACACCATTTGAACATGTTTTATTTTTTCGAAATATATCAAATTTGGATGATTTTGTTTACATGAACAATGTACCATGATTATAGGTCGGACCAATTCAAACCACTAAGAGTTGCAATATTAATGAGTTTTTGTAAGTCTTTTATATTGCAGTAAGATAGGAATTTTTGTCTTCATGTTTTTGACACATTTCAATATCAATAGTGCCACTTTCCCTGTCTTGTCTTCTATTTATGGCATCCTCACAATTTTCTTGAGTTTCCCCATTTTCATAAGAAGTGCTACATCCTTCAGAGTCAATGAGTTCTAAATACGATATATCCTCTGTCTGTGAAAGATTATAAACAATACCATCTGCTAAGGATGTGTTATTAATTTTCATATTTTTGGTTGTGTCTTCCATAATTGGATGTTCTAAATGGTCCGCATCAATTTCTTCATAGATTGGAATCGCCTTCGTATTTTCTTGATTTGGATTCAGTTCTAATATTTCCTGGCGATAACCCTGTTCCCTCAATGGTGTATACGAGTCTGCTGATGATTGTTTCATTTTTTGAAGAGATTTCCCACTTTTTCCTTGTTGGGAAAATTTTCTTTTGAATTTCTGTCCACAAAGATAAATGATAATACTAAAAACAATAATTAATAATAATCCTATTATTGCTGTTAACCATTGTTTGTTCAATCCATACAAAGCTTGCTTTGATTCAGTTTCTGTTGTCATTTTGTGCATTTCTGGGAGATCAGTTGTACCTTCCGTGTATTCAGCTTTTGGTGCTTAGATTGAAATTTAAAAAAAAAATGCTCAATGAATTTCTCCGCATATAATTATATTTTGTTCTTATCATATTTTTAGAAATCAATTCTCTCTTGCAAAATATTTTTCGATGTTAATTGTGTTCAATGATTACGAAACTAACAATGATAAAAAAAATTGATCAAACATACATGTTATCACACAGCCGAAGGAGAAGTCACAGAATTCGGGTGGACATTGACATTCTCCTTGACATTCCAGTCCAAAGCTAGGGTATCTGCATGTTTGACTACAATTTATCCCATCATAACCGGGTTTGCATGCTAAGAAAAGAAGAATCATTTACGTTTTTGTTAAAATTAGAATGAAATAAGATTTAAAGTATGACACTCGTGAAATTTGTTAAATAAAGGAATTTTTTGGAAGTATATTTTGGATAAGTACTTATATCGTATGACTCATAATTGCGGAGAAAATAGGTACGGTACAAATAAGTTGATCTTTTTGCATTTAAACTAACTCTTTGGTATATTACTTTAACCTTTATTATATTTTATTAAATGTAACCATGGCAATAAATAATATTTTTTTTTACACAAAATATATAGTTTAAATAATATTTATCATTGAAAATATCTTGCAAATTAATGCCCGTAAATTATTGTGTCACCTTTTTGCACTAAAAAGTAACATATTTAGGGTATTAACAACTTAAATAGGCAATAAAGAAATTTTATTAACTCAAGCTTTTAAAGATTTGATTGCTGATCAGTCACAAGTATCGAGGACTTTAAAATAATGAAAGAAAAAGTTGGTGTCATTGATGTTTATTTTGAAATATTGGTCAAAATATGTGATTTTCAGGCTGAAAATGGTATAAATTTTATCGAGACTTATTTAGCATATCTCAATTTTAAGGCAAACTTGGTCGAAAAAAGGTGTGAAAATTGTTCTAAAAATATAAATTAAGACATTTATTAGATATTCGTAGCAATATTATAACAAAAAAAATCTCTGAATAAAAGTATGTGAGGCTAAAGTTCCAAGATATTAAATCTAAAAAATTGCAGATTTACAGAATTATCTTCTAAATATCTTTCCACCACAAGAAATAGTCCCTCATAAATTTTGCTTCTTTGTATCTTTTTGAGCAGATTTTTTGTCGATTGTTAAAACATTAACACTGTTCAATTCAAATATGTTATGAAAATTGAATTTTAATAGATAGTTTTGAAGCAGGAGAATCTGCGTGAACTTTTCTAAAAAGCAGACGAGTGACATACATGTACCTTAACAAATAAATGCCAAATTCAGAGGGGTGAATCTATTGTTTTTTAAAGCATGATAAACATGATAAATTTGTCCTTAGTCTTAAAGATCAAAAAATACACTGGTTTATGCGTAAGTTATAGGAGCATGGCTTAATAAATCGATTTTGCCTCTTATATTTTTCAAAAAGAAAAATGTTTATGTATAAAATTAATTCTATGTTTTATTTATTTCTTCTCCTTCATAAAAATTTATACAAACGTGCGTTGATAGAATGTTCAATGCTCATGCCAATAATTGCATTTAGTTTTCCACCACAATCCTAAATTTTACTTCATATATTTCTGAGAAATAAGACATCATTTTCAACAATTCTTTCTTTAAATAGTTTTTCTTTTGTCTCCTTGCTACCAGATAAGTAAAGTACTACATGAAGCAAAGTAGTTTCAAAATGACAGACTTTGTTTGCAGTTTTTTTTTATTTATTTAAATATGTCTTACGTTTGCAACTTTGGCTCAAAGAATCCCAGGAAAATCCGAAACAGCAATCAGGTCCATTTTTCCTATGAGAAAAAAACGAAAGAATTACAAAATGAATATTCGTTACTGTACAAGCCTGACATCATTAACTTAAGGATAAAAAACATACCCTGTACATTTTGATAGTGCGTGAAATTGGAAAGACGCAATTACAATCAGTTTGTACAAAAGAAAGTCCATTCTATAATCTAATGAAGAATGGGTTGAAAATCCAATTAACGTTTAGGTTTTGGTATGATCATTATTCTTCCCGGTATCATTATTTCAATTTCCGCGTATTTAGGCCTAAATAAAATAATATTTGATTATTACATTATACTTTGCTTTATTTAAACAATAAAATGCTTTCTTTGTTTGTTGTTACTGGAATGAACGGAAGCAGCTGTTGCAGAAAAAATACATAACCCGCGTAAGCGGGTTATGTAAATTTTTTCTGCAATAGCTGCGACCGTTCATTCCAGTAACAACAAACAAAGAAAGACATTTTATTGTTTATATTTATATCCTTCCTTCTTATTAAGTTTTCAAAAACGTGAAACATAGAAATATACTTTTATTTTGTTGTAAGTTTCAAGATAGGAAGAGCCATTCAAGGTTACTTCCATATATGGAAGTTCAAACGTCATCAAATAAAATCGGTCACCAAAAAAGGTCACAGATTTTGAGTTCAAAGGAATAAAATAAGCCATCAAAATATGATTGTAAACACGATTTAATAAACAGTATTGAACATTTTTTTAAACAAATAATCAAAAAAGTAAGTTTGCAATGTTTTCATTTGCTGCATCTAAGTAGGTCGCGGAGTGTTTTTTTCAGTCTGTGTGTTTTGGCTCCTGCACCACGTGGTGATGGTGGAAATGGACTTCACAGTTCAGAAATGACGAATTCTGCACAAGTGCTGAGCTTCGGTTGGAAGATTTGCTGTTTAACGCAAGGTTGTTGAAAGATTGCGACGAGAGACCGGTAACAGCAGGTACTACAGTTCCATGAGTTGTAAATGGTTGATCAGGTCGAGGAAATTCGGATTCTGAGGTAGGCCTACCGACTTGTTCATTTATTGTAGGATTCATTATTTTGGACAAAGTGCAGCTAAGATTTTTTTTTCTGGGTCGATTTATATTTATTGAAAAGGGATGAGGCAGATTCATTTTTCAATTAATAGTTGGAGCATTCCTACAGGGCATGATTCAGTATCTGTAGCATACATGCGTTTATCAGTGTTCATTTCCACATTTCCTAAACCACCTTGGTGATTCTTTTGCTGTATCTCGTGGCTAAGTGTAACATATGCACCTGTGTCGTCGGATTGAAAAGAGAATGAATCCAATTTCAGTTGGTGATGAAATTCTTGGCCCCTAGAAATGAAGTGGATTGCAATATTGAAGTAGACACATTGTCGGAGAATGATTGGGTTAAGTTGCGCATCCTTGAAGTAAGTCGAATTTTTTTCCATATCACATTTTTCGATCAGGTCTTTGTGCTGTGTTGATTTTGAGGTGCCCTCCCTAACACGCTCTTTCAACAATCCATGTAGGACTCCATTAGATGTTTTAAAATCTTTGTCTTTAACAATGTCTATGTTTCTTTTTAGGTCTGCCAATTTTCGGTTTATAGCCCCTCTCAAATTTTTCAATGTATTTTTATGATAAAGTTCCCCATCTTTTAAGGGCCTAGCCTCACAGTAAAATTTCTCAAGGAGACTATTAAGTTGACTTGGTGATATTGCTTCTAAATCTACAGGCTCCCCTCTTCTCTCAATGCTCCAGTCTAATATGAAAGACAAGGTATATCCTAAATTATAATTATGCATGGAATGTTTTTGTTAGACTTCTACTACATATGAGATTTATTTTGGACAGAAATATTGACATTACATATTCATTTCACATTTAAATGCTGACATGGTGTATTGGCGCACACTTTCCTTTACAAAAAGGAATGAGGAACAGGTTCAATCCCTGTTGTTGGCTTTTTTTAAAATTAGAAATGAAAAGTAATGCCAATTACCACATATAAAAAAAATACTTTTTTGTATATTGCTTAAATTAAACATTTTTACATTTCCCAATTCTTACATGTATTTACCTTGAAACAATTTACATCCCCAGCTAGTGTTTTTCTTGGTTGCGAGAGTTTGGCGTGCTTCAAACAACCTGTTCACATCGTCGTCTGTACTTTCTTTAAATCTGTTGCCTGTTTTTTGCACATTGAGAGGGGTAGCAGGGGTCTCAGGCTTGGGGAGGTCAGAAAAGGCAGGGATACTGAGGTTTTCTGTGATATCTTCTAACTGACTACTGCACAACATGTCTAAGTTTTGAAAATCAATTGTCTCAAAATCGCAATCGTCACACTCCATTTCTATTTCATCAAAACCAAAGTGACCAAACTGATGCTGGCTCTGGGGAGAACTATCCATTGTATGGAAATATACATCACATTTGCAGACGATTGTGTATACAGTTATATTGGAAATGAAATGAAATAAAAAATGGCAACAAAATGAAGATTTATTTTTCATAATTTATTAAAATTTCGACTGACACGATAATAAGCACCGTCAAAATACGTTTGTTTACATTTAGATGTACTTTTAAAAAGTAGTCCAAAGAATGTGTATATTCATACGCGGGCAGATTACTTTGGGAAAAACCCGGATTATCTGTGTTAGGAATAGTGACTTGTTTATGCAGGGATGAACGCAATGGGTTTTCTTAAGAAATAAATAAGAAAATATTCAGTGGATGTAAATATATAACTATCAAAAACTCATAGAAAGTAGATTTCAAAAATTGGGACGGCTCACGGTAGCTCAGTCGGTAGAGCGCTCGCTCCGTGATCGGGAGGTCGTGAGTTCGTATCTCGGCCGCAACTGACCTAGTCGTTAAAGTGGGTAGTGACTGTTTCTTCGGGTCCTTCGGATGAGACCTTAAAAACCAGGCCCCGTGTCAGCGGCAGGCGTTGGCACGATAAAGATCCCTCACTGCTCAATGGGCCTGAGTGCCGAGTAAAGGTCAAAATTTGAAGCCCTTCACCGGTATACGGTGACGCCTCCATATGAGTGAAAAATTCTCAAAAGGGACGTTAAACACAAAACAATCAATCATCAAAAATTGGGGTTGAATTCATATTTTCTGTTTACAAATCTATAAACAAAATTGATGTTTTATGGTTTATTGAATTACCTTGAATTAAAATATTTGCTATAGTTTTTAAATTTTATTCTTATTATTTGATATATTCCATACGGAAGCCCCTTAAGGCCAGACAAAAGAAAGAAATATTTTATTGCGTTTAATCACAATAATTATTGCGTTTAAACGCAAAACATTGCATGGAACCTTTAAGAACCCTCTCTACACTGCCCGGTAAAAAGGTCTGATTCTTTGGTACAGGTTTTTTTTCTGTATTTGTAATGATCTTCCCTTAAATCTAAATTCCAATAAGTAGTAATTTACAGTAAATGACTCATCTTGTAATCAATATAAAAAAACTTTTTTTTTTCTTTTTTAAAAGCAAAGAAAAAATAATTGTCATGTATTTTCTCCATAGAACTTATTTATGTTCACTGATACTCTGTCGTGTTTGAACATGTTTTCTGGGGGTAAATGATACGTACCATACATTGCAAATTAAGTCTAGATAGGTTCAATCTTAACACATTTTTTATCAGTTTAATTTTCTTAATTTCCTAATATGCTTTGCACTAGTGTTAAAATATCCACATCTGATTCACACCACTACTCGAATATATTGTTGCACAGTACCTCTGAAGTTTCTCCTTCAATACTATTCATATATAAGTGAGAGGTAATACAAGACTCAAGGAAGAACATTTACTGAAACCTGATATGCATCTTTGATTGTAAGGAATTTTTTGACGTCTTGGAATGCAATATAGATATGGTATATGTAATTCAAATTCATTCTGGTAGTTATCAAAACATATTCAAATCTGCCATATGATTTTGAAGAATTACCTCATTGAAAAGGGAAATGTGAGTATAGGTTTGATTACCACTAGTAAAATTGAAAACCATTTCATCTTAAGCTTTAAGTAACAAAAACAAATTCCACGATTTATTTTTACAATTAAGAGTTATTCCAAAGTCGAATGTCTCATTTCACAATATTATTACAGGGTTCTGATATGCCATACATGTATTTCTATCTATGTTGGCGACAATGTTGCGTTTGAATGTCTTTCACATTGAATATAAAAATAGGATTTTGTATTCTAGAACGAAATATCAAAGTTTCGGAAAAATTTGATATGAGGAAAAAATGTAGCTTATCTATTTTGTACTTACTATAGGTTTACAAGTATTGATATTATATAACTGTACGTGTTAAATTTGCAATGCCCTTTTTCAATAATTATTACAATATTCCACGTTCACTTCCGATCATGCACTGCAAAGTGGAAATGAAATTTGCTTGCAAACTCTTACATCCGTTAGACACTAAAATAGATAAGTTATGTTCAAGGTCTCGTCGCGTATGGATACGGTAATGTTAATCGGAAATAATGTTATCACTGGATTTCCTTTGTCCCTGCATTTATTTTGGTATGTGAAGTAAACACCAATTACTGTAACAGTTAGGTTATAGGCATCCTTTTTAGTTGTTGCTAAATTCCATCTCGTTAATCCGAATGGGTCATAACAAATAATTAACACTAGTTTTAAAAAAAAATATTTCTAAGTGCTTAAACAAAATCTTTTTATCAAGAACAAGAGGGTAATGTTTTCCAGAATTGATATGCAAGCTTATCTTAATGTAGTGCAAAAGATGATGTGCCATATGATCTTAATATACTATTTCTACGCTTGCACTCGAAGACAATTGTTTAATAAGTAGACTTTGTAAAGAATCAATTTCTCCTCTCCATGATCAGAGATTGCTGGGAGATTGCCCCCTCTCTATTAGTGAATGAGAATTTCATTTGCACATACATATCTTGGTCAAAACAATAGACACTGAAATTTCTTGCGTATTGTAATAAATTAAAGTCATTTTCAAACCATTTTAAGTTTGAAATATTTATGTTAATTAAGAGTTAAAATAATTGACGTGAACCACGTGCCTGTGATAATATATAATCGAAAAAATCAATTTGAATTTTTATTTATTCTTCAGATTGGACAATCCCCATCGGTAAGCAATCCTTTTGAAATGATAATAAGAATAATATAAGGTAAATTCCTTGGGCATGCATATTTTTGTACTGTATAAAGAAATGGATATCAAAATACTTTTTGCGTTGAAATAAATACCATTTAGAATTTTTTTCTTTTACTTCTGTCTTAAATCTACAACCAGAATGATTGTAGATTAATTATTATTCATCGGTAGAAAAAAGAGCCCATGGGGTATATTTATTGAAACTTATTTTTTATTTTTTTCTTTAAATCATGACTCTGGGGGTATTGAATTGATCTGATCTGATAAGCAGTGTTTGTGAAGAAATGAATCTGGAGAGTTTTCTTTTTCTTGCTATTTATTTACCTACTCTTCATTTATTTTCAGCACAATTAAGAGTCATTCTCTGCAATGTATTGAAATTTTATATAGGAGCTATGGAACGCATAGTCTCAGAATTTCTCCAAATTCTCTATGATGAAAGTCTGTGATACCCTTAACTAAAATCGGGCAAACTCGGTTGTTTTGATGTGCGTTATAGCTACCATGGCAACATGTCTTAAATGTAAAAGAAAAAAGACATTTTTAACATGCTAAGAATCCCATAGATTTTATCAAGGCTCAGTAAAGATTTAAAGTAGCTGAAAATATCAAATTTCCCGGCTGTTATCATGCCAACATAAAGAGATAGCAACTAAAATCTTTCAGAGATTTGTGTCAGGTACTAAGAATGGGTAACAATTTAACAAAATCACCATGCATTGCAAAGAAGTAAAAGTGGCTACAGAGAATGGCTCTTATTTTTTTCTTCGAGAACTTGTTTCAGAGGTACTTGTATTATTGCATATTTATATGAGAAGTTTATGTTTAAGTTTGATGCAGTCCTACTTTTGCCGATTAAATTGCTGAATAAAAATGAATAACAGGAAAAAAGATAATATCCGATCAGATCACGTGACGAAAATAAATCACTGATTAGTTTTTAGTAGCTTTAAATTTCCTTAAAGTATTTTGGGGAGAATAATTTTTACTCTATCCTTTCTCTATTCAAGCTCAAAAAGCAGGGAAATAACGTTCAAACTTTCAAATATTGAAGCTACTGTACATCTCTAATTAACACGTATATGCATCAATGAGATAAATGAGAACCTTTCCATGAAAATATATTAATTTACGAAATGTCATATTTTACTTATCATATACCCAGCCATGTACCTTGAAAAGTAAAAAAAGAAATGGAAGCCTGAGTTATTCGACTGAATAAAATTATTTTACAAAAATTATTCCCATTTGTAGTAGTTTGATATGCTCTAATTGTTTTCTCATTTATTATTATTTATGGTATCTTTTCAGTTATAGGGAATCTTAGTGTAACCTATCAATTAAAATCATGAAATTAACAAATTTTACAATTATTATGAATATAGAAAGGCATGTTTGTCATTAAAAGGGTTGGCTATCTTATATAGTACTAAAGGAGAAGAGGCAGATCTGACAATAAATACATTGCTATGTATCATATATAACAAATAAACCTGCAAAAATCTCTTAGTCGCAGAAATTAAATAATCCTTAACATATTTAAGGTACAAAAACGTGCGTTTTAATGTTTTAAGAACAGATGATACAAACAAAAAATAGATGCCTAGATTAATATATACTGTAAAACGAGAATATTTGGCGCACTACTAATTTTAGCGCCTTTGGCGCAAGAGCCCCTGAGCGCTAAAATTTATTGTGCGCTAAAGGATTTCTAAATATCATTTTTTGTATGTGTTCAAAGCTTTTACATAAGTACATCTAAACTGGAAAGCGTGATTACGTAATGTCAAAGGGTCATTGGATTTTATATACACACTAGCACTGCACATGTTCGGAAGACAGAAATTTCTGCCAAATTATAATTTAATTAAACTATTGTTACCCCGGTAGTTGTTACCCGATTATTATCATTAGCACCTTCAAAGTTTGGCTTCTCGGCGTGTCAGTCATCTATCGCCTCGAAGTAAACAATCATGGCGATTGAGCTTGCAGACAATACCTGATTAGAATTACTGTTTTATCTAAGATATTTTCTGTCGATGCATGCATTGTTTTAATGTGATTTAAATGAGTAAATACTCCATTTCTTTTAATTGAAAATAGAAATAAAATAAATTCTTTTAACATTGTACCACGCCCATGTGATAGCAACACGTACCGCAGTTAAGGTAATGAATGTTTACTGATATACGGGAATACTAATGTGTTTCCGTGCTTGACTAACCAAAAAGTCAAACACGGGTGCGGATAAAAAAACCAAAATGTAACATTTATGTATTTTACTGACAAGTGCAAGCGCTAAAATTTATTTGCGCCAATGCATTCCCACTTGCGTTTGCGCTAAAATACGTATGCGCCAAATTTTCTCGTTTTACAGTACATGGTTTATGTGCTGGCTTAATATCATTGCAAATGATGCAAATGATAAATTTTTCTAGAATATAAAGAAATCGTAAACCTTCAGTGATGTTTAAAAGTGTGTTCATCCTTATTAATCTTTACAAATATTTTCACTTTAAATTCCATTCTTATAAAAATTTGAATACAATTAAAATTAAAAATACGCGGTGAAAGTAATTCATTTTGTTCTTTTGAACATGACCATAGTTGTCATTTTCAAATTCTTTGACAAAAGTGTGTTTGTATCATCTGTCCTTAATACTTTCTTTATTTTCTTTTTCATAATGTTGATTAAAACAAGTATAACGTCTCATATTTCCGGAGAATAGAATAACTTTACAAAGTCACAAGATCGATAAAGTGCATTCTCCTGTATATTAAATAACAAAAAAGGTAGTCGAATAAAGCTAAAGATTTTCTTTTCAGTACACATGGACCGAAATAGTTAAATAGCCCAGCTCAGATAACATTCCGCCGACGGTAATCGTTAGCATAAAACGCATAAGGAGTCTCAGGTAAGACAATGCACTTCAGTTAATTTCTTACATGCTTTTTTATTGAATTGCAACATCTAAAAACAAAAAAAAAATTCTTCTTTTAATTAGCAATGTCAGTTAATGTAATTTGCAGAATCCAAAAAAATATATATATTTAGGGTCTTCTTTGCATTAGACAATAGTTTGCAACTTGGGAATTCTGTAGCACAATAAAAAATTCAGTCGGGCGCCTTTAAGCAATGTCCGTTTTATCTAGCTGGAATATTTATAAATTTACTTGAATTTGTGATGTCATTCAAATGATGCAAAAATTATGAAAAGTATCTGCTTGCTGTACATTTCACGGTTAAATGCACCTGACCTCATTTGATGAAACAATGGAAAATAAATATATTTATACTTTATACATTATCCCATTCTCTCTCTCTATATATATAAATATAAAGAGAGGGAGAAGGTGTTCATATGTTTCATGATACTCGATTACTTTTAGATTTATTTCTCTTCTTTTAGTTTCGTTTTTCCATGTTTTTTTTTATTCCATGAAAACTTATAAATAGAATAGATAGAAATCTATTTATGGAAACATCAAAATGTCTGCGATAGGCCGGATAAGGCATATTGTTGTAAGATAAATAATTATACTCTTATTTGACTTTTTGATAGGACAAAATTTCAGTTTCAATACGAATATACTAAGTCTACATAATAGTCTAATACGAGTACATCAAATCGTAACTTTGTTCATAAAAAAACTCAAAAACTTCATGTGCAAAGCTCTATGTGTTGTATTTCAATGTAATTTTTTTTAGCTGAAATGAAGATGCAATTCATGGTGCTTCTTGTCATTTTCTTAGAAACAGCAGTAAGTAAATAAAATTTTGTAAAATATCAATTTAATTTTTTTTTACATCAATTGTAGCTTTTTATTTCATTTTTCTTGTGCAAATTAATGTCTTTTAAGAATTAAAGATATACATGTAGATGATTTCATCTTTTCTTGTAATAAAGTAATGTATGTTTTATTTGCTCGTACATCATTCAAAGAAGTTTATATGTATTTATGTCTATTCGTACTAATAGGAGATAAAACTCGTAAAAACAACATGTCCAGCTTCGGTTCCAACAATTCGATATGTATCGTCCTGTCCCAGTAATGAAGAGGCATGGAAAATAGCCGAATCAAAAAAGAATTGCAAAAGTTTAGCTGATATTCAGAAATGTGTTGCAGATCCCTCTAAATTTAAGTATCACTGTCTTGTGAACAGCTATTTGAATGCAACTTTAGAAGTGTGTGCACCAATCCGGTTTGCCTCAGGTAATTATCAATAATAATAATAATAATAATGATAAATTCTAGATTTTGTTCAAAAGATGTGATGAATGATATTTAATACAACTGTATTGTAAATAAATTCATTCTTAATAGGTTACTGTGCCGATTTCAATACCCTGCAAATAAAAGTGACGGAAAATTATAATATTGACTGTACACAGCTAAATCCCGCATGTCCTCAAAGATATGTATCTACAGATATATATAAATGTAAGTTTCTTTGACCAAACAAATTATGCAAATGTCTCAATTAAAATAGCTAACAAAATGAATATTATATTTGTTATTTTAAGACCCATCCTGCTACAAACTGAATGAAAATCATGACACAACTGCAAATTCCACTCAATCAGCTGAATACAGCACAGTGACAGACTTTTCAACAACAACGTTTGTACACAACACTAAGGAAACGAGGTTTGTATCATAAGTATTGTAAATGGTAAAGATTGAAGCACACTTCTCAACATTATAGTCACAAATAAGTCCTTTGGATATAAGTTTGTTCTAAAATCTCAAAGAACAAACTCTACATTAAGATGTATTAGCTTAGTGTAATTTATTTTTTAAAAATTAAGCCATCCATTTACTAGATATTTTAACATTGTCAGATACACTTTTCAAATATAGTGAAGTATTTTAAAATACTCCTGCATTTAGTCTTGTCCAGATTTTTAAAAAGAGGGCTAGAAATAACTTCTAACTGCAAATAATTACTATTTGGTCCAGCCTAGTTTTTAACTTATTCCAAATAAAATATCCTGGCCTTCACGAAAATGGCGTTAAAAAGGTCAAAATGGCGATTCAAAATGGCAGACATCAAATTTTTCTAATGTTCTCTTAATGTCGTTCAAAAAAGAGAAACATTGTGTGAATATCTCACGGTGTGTAATGCAACTATGCGAATGATAATAGATTGTTTATATTATTACTTCAACTCAGAAAATTTAAATTAATTTTCTCTGATTTATTTGTCTATTGTTTCTGTATTCTGCTTTGTTCAGGATTTTACATTTGCAAATATCCATACACTGCAGATTTGTATTTTTCCTCTGCATCTCACTATTCGACAACTGAATGATGGTGCAGCTTTAAGATATAAGTCAAAATGGCGATTCAAAACGGCCGGTAATCATTTTTTTTCAAATTATTTCTTAGTGTTTAAGTAGGAGAAATTTTAAAGGATGAGTGGATATCTTACAGAGCGTAGTACAAAGATGAATGACAATAGAGCACTAATATTATTACTTTTATTCGGAAAATTTGATCGGTTTAATTTGAAATGTGTTTATTCGCTCAAAATGGCGATTCAAAATGACAAACACTCGAATTTCATAGAATTCTATAGTACTCACACTTCTTAATTCTGAGTCGTTTTGCAGAAATGAATTTATTATAATTTGTTTTTTTTAATTAATGAAATTATGTTCAAATGTTCCATTATAGTTTGAGGAAATTGTTGTTAATGACGTATGATTTTTATGTCTTTGTTTAATTACTTTTATTATTAAGATAAACTTCTGACATTTTTTCCCTAATCATCTTCCTATTCTACAAGTGCATGATGGTGCATCTGTAATTTACAATTCAAATTTTCGGAAGAATCTCTGCAGTGACCCATTCATAAGTTTGCAGCAAAGAACCAAGAACATCTATCACATCTGTTCGCTCAAAGTAATGTGAGGCTATCACTACACATGCCGAATCTTAAAACCACATACTGCCTTGCTTTGCATGCATATATAAAGAATGTGAAGCGTAATTTCTATTGAATAATTTTTTATGCATAAAAGTGGACACTGAGTATTTGTTGTGCAACTTAAAAATGATGTTTTTTGAAATCAGTTAATTTTCTTTCTCCTCAGTCTTCTATTGGCATGTACTACAATGAGTGAATTATATTCAATATACATGTATATATTTTCTGAAGCTCTGGAAAATACAGATTTATCGTTGGAACAATCGCAGGATTTAAAAAGGTTCCATTCACATTAGACAGTTGTCTACCTCTAGAAAGAATAAGCAATAGTAAATCAATGTATGACATGCTGGTATGATAGCCAGAGGTGCTAGAGGGTACTCAACAACAGTACTAGAGCACTGCTTGGAGTTCAAAAGACTGCTTCTTCACTCAGCGAAGAATTACTAAAGCAATATCACCACATTTCAATCTATCTTCAACCATCCAAAAAAATCTTCCCCTCCCTCCCTTCCAAAAACAGCGAGCACTAACAATGTTTTTAATAATGGTATATAGGAGGAGACGGGATATAGTTTTTTTTAGGTAAATCAAAGCTAAAAGCCAGAGGAATTTCTCTTGGTGCCCTTTTCTTCTGAGTTTAGCCGATTATATTGATTAATTCATTTTATGAGCAAACAAAAACATATTAGCAAAGTTTTATTTTTTTTGGAAATAGTTCAAAAAAAAACTATATTTGAGAGTTTCCAAATGTTTTCCTCATATTTGACCGTGTTCCAAAGCCTTTAAATCCCTTCCACCAAAAATCACCCCTGATTCGCTGTCATTATGAATTCGCACTTCCACGTCCCTCAAATCACCATCGAATATCACTGATAAATATGTTGTTAGGTTTCATCGAACCCTTTGTACAAGATTTTGAAATTAGCACTTGTAAGAGCTTAGTATTATCCCCCTAACATCTATTCCAGCTTTAAATGCTATATGTTTCAGTCTGTCTACGGAAGTTTGGTCTTTTCAACACTTAAAGTACAACACCTTTAGGCTCATATGTAAAAAGTATATATTTTGTGTCCCAAAACCGTGTACAAAAAGAGAAAATTCTCTGATTTTAAAGTATTTTGTGACCGTTTAGATTCGTTGTCTTTTGGGGTAGAAAGGTCATTCTAGCTATCCCTAGCTCTCTTTGGTTGTGGTCTATCATTTTATAAATCCTAAGTTTTGTTGCACAAGACCTTCCACATGAACATAAAACATTTAATTTTTCTACACTGGGCTAAAAATACTATTAGAATTTCCAACAACTGATATGATTTTAATTAGCAACCATCGAACTACAATGCTCACTCTTCTTTATGCTCGGGGAATACGAGCTTACATGTAAGTGGCATATTGTCCTTTAAACAGTAATTATTGTATATTGTTATACCTTTAGAAATTTGTTCCTATACAATTCTATCCGAAAAAAAGTCTAACATATTTAATGTTTTGCTGAGCGGGCATAAAAAAATCGATGTTGGACCGCTGAGTGAGATGTTGGACCGCTTACGTCACAGAATGGGCGGTGCTTAATCTCATTTTCATTCGCTGGTGTTAAACATGGAAAGATTTGATGTTACATCACGGAATAAAGTACAAAATACATGTAAATTAAAAAATATATAAAATAAAATAAAATGAAAGGTATAACAAAACATTTATTGACTGAGTTCTCGGGCAAAATGAGTTTTGTCGGACCCTCGAACCAAACTGTCTGCCTTCGGCCTACGGCCTCAGGCAGACAGTTTGGTTCTTGGGTCCGACGAAACGCATGTTGCCCTTGAACTCAGTCAATAAATGTATATTATTAACTTTTTTACATAGAAAAACACATGGTGAGACAGGTAATAATTAAAAATGATTTCGGAATTATCGACAAAAGTAATTATATAAAGACATGCAGTAAAAACAATATCCTCCAACTTTAATTGAACATTAGAACATTATTCTATCAATTAAAAAAGATGTAATAAATTTATTCTCTGCAAAACGACTCAGAATTAAGAAGTGTGAGTATTCTAAGGAATTCGTCATTTTGAACCGCCATTTTGAGCTAATTAACACACATAAAATTTAAACGATCGAATTTCTCGAATAAAAGTGATAATATTAGTGCTCTATTGTCATTTTAGTTGTTGTACTACGCTCAGTAAGATATTCATAAATCCTTTCTCCCATTTGAACATTAAGAAATAATTTGAAAAAAATGAATATTCGCCGTTTTGAATCGCCATTTTGACTTATAACTAAAAGCTGCACCATCATTCAGTTGTCGAATAGTGAGATGCAGAGGAAAAATACAATTCTGCAGTGTATGGATTTTTGCAAATGTAAAATCCTGAACAAAGCAGAATACTGAAACAATAGACAAATAAATCAGAGAAAATTACATTCGAATTAAATGTAGAAACGACTAAATTTTCTGAGTTAAAGTAATAACATTACCAATCTATTATAATGTTCATAGTTGCATTACACACTGTGAGATAATCACACATTACATGTATATTTTTGTTTGAATGTTTTGAAAAGAACATTAGAAAAATTTGACGCCATTTTCATGAAGGCCAGCATATTTTCGGATTCAGCATAATCGAAATAGGTTAATAAACTTCGCTGGACCAAATAATGATTATTTGCCGTTAGAAGTATTTTCCTATAAATCTGACCGGACTAATTTAAATGTTTTATGTAAATGCATGATGTGTTTATTTCAGGTCCTTTTACATTGCTGTAGTTGTATTGGGTGTTCTGTTATTTATTGCTTTTTTCATCGGTGTTTCTCTTGCTGTCTACAAATTTCGCAAAAAATTCATATGTAAGTAATCCAGAAAAAATATCGCAGAAAAAAATATTTAAAAAATCATGAAATATGTCGGTATAGTTTTTAATCTAACTTCACCCAATATGCAATACATTGTTCTTTTTTAGAACTCTATTTACTGTGTGCGTTAACCCCCACCCTCAAAATTGCTGAAGAAAAAAAATAACTACAACTAATAAAATATATTTTTTTCATTCCATGGCTTCATATATTGTATAATATCATAATACTACATACACTTTTTAAACAATTTACAGTCCACCGAATGTCAAAGAACCCTTTAGATGATACAGGTGAGCCGATTTAAGTAAATGCTGCTTTAATTGTTGTCTAACGCATGGCTTTCGCTTTGGGCCATATGAGACATATGTCCTGGAGATAACAAAATTTTTGTCTTGAACCTTATTTATTAATCCCCTACCGGTGAAACCGGAGAGGACCATATGTTTCCTCTGCGTCTGTCCGTCCGACCGTCTGTATTTCCGTCTGTCCGTCTAGCTGTACGTCCCCGTCTGTCTGTCAGTCTGTTGCACATGGTTTTCCGCACTTTTTTCCTAAACACTGACAGATATTGAGCTGATTTTTGGTACGTTGATGTATCTTGATGGACTACAGATCTAATTTGAATACCGTTCCACTTCAATGATTTTTAATGGAAATACGGCCTCTTCAATGTTTCAGGCATTTCCGCACTTTTTTAAACGCTTGCAGATATTGAGCTGATTTTCAGTATGAGACTCACCCAGCTAAGTTAAGGCTGCCGGTAAAATATCAAACAGTTTAAACTGTAGTTACTTCTCTGAACTACCTAGATATGACGTCATAATAGCATATGACGTCAAGTCACTGCATACTTGTGCTGACATGACGGGGAAAGTGTCATAATCATTACATAGCATGTAGATTTAATTTGGAGACTTTTTGTTAAATTCAAATGTACAGTGTAAGGATTGTATTTTAAGCTCAAGTGTGTTGTTATGACTTGAACATTTAAAATTTAAAAATATCCTTATTCCTTGTCCGATATGCACATATTCAAACAGTAGCAAAAAATATGTGTGAAACGCTCCACCTTACACGTCCGTAGACAGAGTTGAAATTTATGAATCGTGTATATATTGGACTGGCACGGGGGATTGTGTGTAGTTTAGCCATTTTTGTATAAATCGCGATGAATTAAGAGTGGAAAATACGCAAGTGAGCAAGTTGAATTTCTCGTAAAATATTTCTAAACGAGAAGAAGCTAAACCTGCCCACAGCACTTTCTATATACAGGAGATCACGATGAATTGATCTATGTAACAAACTCTGTACAATATTTTTGCTTTGCACTTGCGCTGAAGCGATTTTTGAGCAACTATTAGGAATTTCATAAATCTCCGTCATGTGTTCAATATAGTCATGTGTCATCACAAAAATGCGTTAAAATAAAACCTGATTATTCTATTATTTTAAGTTGACTACAATTTCAAACAAGGATTACATATCAAAATTAATATCTAGCACAAAGTATAATGTATATTTTCAAAGCATTGTAAGCCTTCGGACAGTCTTATCATTACTGCGTTACCTTCATTATTTATAGACCACGTTTATATTTCGTTCTGTTTAATTGATTTTTTAAAGAATTGTGGTATTTTTTAAATTGTATAATAGGGTTCATTATAGGGTTCGTGATGCAATAAATTTATGTCGTGATGCACTAAATTCATGTTCTAAACGAGATTGTCATGAATTGAAACTTGCTAGATACCTTGATTACGCTTATTATGTTAAGGCAGCATATGGACCAGAATTCGGCACATTAACACTTTTTTATAATTATGTAACTCTAATAAATTGGAAAAGTCAAGCATAAAACTTTTGTGTAATTATGTATTCTATAAATGCATTCATCCTTTGCTACATATTTTTTTTTATTTTTGTCCTTGGTTTCTTTTTTCATTTCATTCACTGTTTATTGTAGATGCCATGGTAAAATTTTTTAATGATGATGCAGAAGAAGCAAAACCAGAAACATACCTCACAGGTTTAGTGTTAAAGTTTAACAACATTCCATTGTTTTAGAAACTGTATCAGTTTTAATATGGGTCAAATTTTATCAAAACGATATGTGCTGCATTTATGAGGATTTGATTTTGCTGTTAAAATGTGCCGTCAAGATCAATTTGTATTTAATTTTAATCTTTATAGTGAGTTTAACTCAAAGAAAGTATTTAATTGATTGAGAAATGATTTCTGTGCAATTGAATGAAAGAATTATAAAATAAATCAATGTTGTATAGGACAATAAAAAAGTAACTTTGCATCAATCTAAGCACATAAATGGTTCTTCCATCCCAACGACAGAAGCATAGTTTTAAAGGTGACCAACAATATTTGGCTCAACAACTCCCCACGTAAAGAATATTCTCCCTTAGATAATAGTATACTATGTATAAATTACCAAATTAGAATGCAAATTTAGTTTGTAACAGGCATCTCTTTAAAAATCAAACAAAACTTCTGTTCAAAACATATTTAATTCATAAATTACTTGTCAATGTTTATACAGAATAATACAAAACAAAAGGTTAATGGTAACATACGAAAAACAAAGATTTTCCATGAAAAATGTTTTACGTCTATATCAGATTGATTAAACATAATTTGTTGACAATTAAACTACCTATTTTCTTTCATTATAGATATCCTAGAGGATAATATTGAAGAAAAGGGGTTTGAGCAGGGGGAAGATGATGTTGGGAACAAATATTACACACTTGTTCCGTGAGTAAAATTACTTTGGGGTTTCCATATTTTTTTCATATTTGTTTTAATTTAATCGAAAATTGTCATCAGAGTTTACGATCTAAGCGTAATAAATGTAAAAAAAAATGTAAAACAATTCTCTTTCTTTAAGGAAAGACAAAAGTGACATAACAGATGAAGAGGAAGGCAAAAATGGTTTGAATTTCATTCACATTAATATGGTGGGGACCCTGAAGTCCGCACATAAAATATATAAGCGAGGTTAAAACGATTGCCATGAGCTTATGTCAAGCTACGCAGAGTTATGTTCAAAATACGATGTAGTAACGATATCGACACATTACTTTTTTATAGTTTACTACAATATTTCTCTATTTTTGTGTGTCTATTACAATACTTCCTGTCAGTATCCACGAAAATGCATCAAATCATGTTTGTCCAAAGAATTATGGTTTCCATCCTTGATATTATCAATTTCAGTTAAGTGTGCACTTTTGCATTACGTCACAACCTACGATGACAGCTGCGCTCAAGATAAATAGTACAACTAAAAGCCTCCAAACCGCAAGTTAACGACTGGGAGTTTCTTCTAACCCCTAATTGGTTGCTCGTGCAACAAACAATTTCCGTGTCCTCTGTTGATAAAATGAGTCGACCAATCACGGGGCAGGGCCTTGAATGGTTTACGTTGGATGCATTTCTTGAAAAAGATTGTTACATAATGCAGAGCGGCACACTTAACTTACGAGTAACTGAAATTAATAATATTGTGTTTTTAACATGTGTTACTTAAAAACACTTTTTATCACTTTAATAAAACAAAGATTGTACCTGCCTTTGATATCGACGATATAGTACCGATATATAAATCATGACTGTAATAAACATATTACATTACCAACCTTTACCCGAAACAAAACATTTTTTTAACATATCTCAAGACTATATCTTCAGTGTTTCTTCATGCAACGCTTGTGTATATTTTCTTTCTGACAGAAAAATTTTCTGTACTCTCGATATCAACGGTATCGTATTGATATCGAATCGTGATTGTTAAAACATATTTAACAACTTTCTTCCCTAACCCAACATCTTACTCTGAACCTAATCCAAAAAATACTAGAGTTACAATCCCTAACCCTTTTTAATCATAAATTATTTTCATATTCATACCAATAATGAATCAATTTTGACTTCGTAAATTTATGTTATACTTCATTGTGAAAATAAATTGTACATATAGGATCAATATCGATACGATATTGACATGGTATTGTCGATATCAACTACATCAACATAGCAAAAATACTCACGTATAGTAAAATGTATTTCCATTAATAGCACTAATCATGATCGATACGATATCAACATAATGTTGTCAATATCCTTGATGTAAACATCGAATTGCTCTTGGACATGTTTTGGCATGCATGAGCAAGAATGCTAGTGAGAATCATCAGTGGGCGTGCTTTCCAAGCTTAACATTCACGTGTTAGAGCAGAGCGTAAAACGCTATCTGGTGAGAGAATCGACATTTGAATTAATCTAAGCCTTTAGATCATTTTGCTCTTTTTGAATTACACCAGAAGAGCTGATGCAATTTTAATGTTTCCATCGTCCGTCTGTCTTAAAACAATTTTCTTCGAACAGTTTTGGTCTGATTTCAATATACAACTTGGCACACAAGTACACTACACTACGATACATAGTTCTCTGTATATGTCTTTGATTCGATTAACGCGGTGTTGTCATGGGTACTAAAAATAGACATTTCTGTAAAATGCATTCAATATGCAACTCTTTCTACAGTTTTAGTCTGATTTCAATATAATTTGGCGCACAAGTAGATTACAATAAGATACAACATTCTTTGAATTAGTTTTTGACTTCGATGAACGGTGTTGCCATGGATACTGAAATAGAAACTTTTGCGAAATAATTTAGAAAAGCTATTCTTCTTATAAATTTAATCTGATTATAATATTTTGCTGCATGTAAGCAGACTACACTAAGATAAAAACATGACTGTACTAGTAATTGTTTTATTGGGTTTCTTATTATTATTTTGATGAATGATGTTCAGGGTTCTCCACATTAGAAAATTCACTATGAAGGAAGCTGCGTGAAGGCCAAATGTGTCCAAAAACACAAATGCGTTTTAGACTTCCTAATCTTCATTAATCAATGATTGGTTTTACTTTTTTTAAACTTACCCACTACAACACAAAAAGAACACTTCTTAAACATGTTAAAGTTAGGAAAATACTAATTAGGGATTTATCCCGTATCTTACTTCAAAAATATACCAAAAATTGTCCAGTAAGCATGGCAATATTTTTTCAGAAATTAATAATTATAAGAATTGTAGCCTGTTACATACATGACATATGAAATGTTTGTTTTTTTTTCTTCAATATGACCATAACTGATGAATTGGTAGTATTTTTAAGTTAACACACAAAGGAACATTTGGACCTGTCACCAGTGTCCTTTTTATCTAAACATTTTATTTTTCTAGATATTGCATTTTTCATCAAGTTTTGTTTACTTCTCCACGTTATATATACTTAGTGCTAAAAATAGCGCCACGCGACGTTTCATAACAAAGAGAAGTAACTTTAAAACTAAGACTAAGACGGCGATTAAAACTAAGACGGTGATTGAAACGTAGGTACTATGCATATTTTATCAAAAAGATAAAGTTAAAGCTTAAAAAACAGAGCATGGGAAATTTATTAAATACAAAGAAATAAGAAATTGTTACAGAGTATTTTTTTCTCGCGTAGCAACTTGAAACGCATGCATTACGATTATCAATCAATTAATTGTCAACCTTTATAAACCCGTTATCTAATCATGCAGTGAACATGTTGAAGTTTCCAAAAATTATTTACATGTGTACAGGACAATAAACTTTCCAAAAATTGATCATTTGATCAGCTAATTGACTCTCCATTGATTGTCACACTTCACAGCATCATATGAGTCGCTGATTAACGACGTGTTTGTTTAGCACAGTCCACTTACCTTCGAGGCATGCCAGGTGCATGGCAGTCGTAGCATAAACACAATTAAATACTCAAGTCATTAAAAAAGTAGGTGTCAGGATTTAAATGCAACAAAATTTAACCATGGCGGCTACTGATTTTAACCATGGTGCAGCTCGTTTAACCATGGAGCACGACAATGGAAATTAAAATTGGAACAACATAGGACCAATGCACAGAAAAGCCCATCATATACTGTTAAAAGATTGTTACGGTTGCATTACAAACAGTTTTCACGTTATGATGGAAACAAGCTTCACCCATTCTCAATATAAGGGCACAAATGCCTCTCTGATTTTTTAAAAAATGAAGTTCAAGAAAACAATTTTTCTATCAATTATCTTTGAAAGAATGTATCTGAAGATTTTGTTTCCAGATTTTTTTTCATCAAATTATAATACATGGAATAATGACAAGACGATAAAGCAGAGGGTGATTTTATTCAGAAATGTCGCTTGAAATGTACGTTACTCTTACTTCAATGTCCAAAAAGATATGTAAAAAAAAAATGTAGTCATTAAAATCACAATTGGAATAGCTCATCTTAACACCAGCACATCTTACCAACTCTGTCAGCAACATATTTTCTCGGCATACGAACGTGCGTTTGATTTTTCCTTTCAAAAGACAATGGTTACTTTTTAATCCAGATGTATAAAAACATTTTTTTAATATATGCTTTAAATTCTTCTCTCTGTTTTGTTTAGAGCGATCAGTTTGGAATCTTGTCATTTTTCATAGATACTGGAACCTAACATGTACATGTAGAAAAATTCTATTTTGTAGTTACTATCTTTTTTAACATATATCCATGCCAATTTAGAAAACTACGTAAATGTAACGTACATTTCAAGATATATTTCTGTTTAATAAAAAGCTTAAAATTCATCTGAAAATTCATTGTTTTGATTCAGTTATTTAAAAAAAAGATTCTCTATGTAATCACATTGTGTTATATGTAGCAAACACCACTATAAAGATACGATTGCCTCAGAATATGAGTAGGTAACGTACATTTCAAGCTTGTAATAATATGTAAATTAGTAATAAGAAAATTTTGAAAAAAAAGCAATTATTGACATAAAATTCATTTCAATGAAGCGTTTTAAGGCAGTAATGTAAGAAATCATAATGTAACAAACGAGGTTATTTGTCATTAACTACATGAATGTCACGTCACTTCGGTAACGTTCATTTCACATATTATTGGAGAGTCCCCTCCACCTCAGTTCATTACCATTCTTTTGTGCTGTTTCGCTGAAATTGACACCGGTCGTAGCCTAGTTACTTCTACCTGTGTGCAAGGGTACAGACAAAAAAATATAAGAGTCAGACGTATTTTGCTATGATCTAACATATGCTCGTGTTTGGCCATTGAAACTGAACATAAATCTATTCCGAATATATCCATCGACAGTATGTAAACAATTTCATTTAGTATGTTGCAACATCGTTTTTCAAAACACAAACATACGTGCTTTTCAGCAGATCTGGAAAAATATAACCCAAAATGCAATGATTCAAACAAAACTGAGTATTGTGTGCCTTTCAGTATTTGAAATGTACGTGACCGTCTTGTGTTCTGGGTTTAGGCCTATTTGTTTTGTTGTTCTTTTTTTTCAATTTTTTGTTTCTTTTTTTTTTTTACCAATTATAAGCCTATACATACCTTGTTTAAATTATCAACAACAATTAAATTATAATATTGACGAAAAGTCGCATATTAAAAGTAAACAAACTGCAATAAGGTTGCCAAAGATGAATTTAAGACACTTAGAAATAAATTTTGTAGCATGTGGTAACAGTCTAAAACATTTACGAGGATTGGGGGTGCATTTAGATGGATTTATGTGGCCAGTTGTCAAATGGATTGTAACGATAATTTTGTTTCGCTCGTGTAAACGCAATTCATTGACTAAATTTAAAAAAAATGTCAGTTAGAAATACGTGAAATGTACGTTACCATACGTAACGTACATTTCAAATATAAAAATCAATTCTCTTCCACAAGCATACGTTAGACACGCAATATATTGATACTATTTGAACTTGCATATCATAAGAAATGCATCATACAGGTTTCGTATTCAGAAATATATACCAGGTATCAAAATTATTTTACATATAATTGACCTTAATATATTTTTTTTCCTCAGCAGAAACGTTTCTTTTCATTAATTTTGGGATTTAGCCGACCTCCGACCTTTGAAACTTTCCTTTGTGTACACATTCGACTGTGTGAAAGTATGAGAATACATGAAAATTCGTGCGAGATTCACTTAATTCGAATTTCATGGTAACGTACATTTCAGTAACGTACATTTCAAATGATCACTTTTCATGTAAAAAATAATTTTTAATTGTGTTAATCAAATCGTCTTTGCCAGTTTACAGGGTACAAGGGGTTGCTTATTCAGAGTCGTCTCATATTTTCTTCTTAATATATATTCTTAATGGAAAAATATAGGTAACGTACATTTCTTTCTTATCTCTACGATTGAAAATGTCTTTCATTCCGTAAACACATTTAAAAAAGTTGCTCAAATTGTTCAATTTCATGTTACATTATCTAAGTAGGAGTAATTAATCTATTGAAATCTCAAATTTAGCCCATCAATAAGTAAAGGAGAACAAAACTATCAGGTGTATAATCTTTGTGTTTGCTTTTAATGTGGTTGAAATAAAATTAAGCGACAGGGACATTGCACAATAAAAATTATTTATTATCACAAAGAAAATGTATTTATTGTTATGAAAAGAAATATATATGATACAAGGTTTAACTTATCAGAAAATTTTTACTTAAGAATCAAAACTATATATTACACAGAGGGGATTCAGAATAATATTTGCCTCGGCGACAGTAACGTACATTTCAAATAGGCTACTATATTTGAATTTGGAACTCCTTAAAAACCCTTTCAGATTGATAATTATATGAATTCTTATTCATTGTTATATGACTATTTATAATGTTGATTTAAAAATTACTTCAGTGGTATTTCTTTCAAATGAAAATGAGGCGACATTATTTGAGCCCTTATATTGAGAATGGGTGGCTTATGCTTTTTTTTTTAAAAAAGCATAAGCTTGTTGTCATCATAACGTGTAAACTATATATAAATACCAAGTAGTTCTTTGTACTTCATATTAGAACTATATATGGACTTTCAAGCCAATATATTCAAATTTCCTGATCTGTCCGCAAAATATTATATCAGGCTTTTCAAAAGAACCTAAAATCTACAATTCTCCCCAGAAACAATCCTACCTTAACTATGGGATATTTTTCTATATGGTAAAGTTATGGAAACACCAAAAAAAAATATCTAAAGAACTATTAACTGTGTATTTTGGCAAAAAAGGCAAAGTCAAGTAAATATCTTGTTATATTAAAGACTTTTAAGAAGTCAAAAGATTTTTCATAAAATTTTAGCGAATTTTGGGCCATGAAAACTGTATGCTGGTTGCCATGGTAACCATGCATGGGCCATTGTTATCATTTAATATGATTTTCTAAGAAGATCTGAAGCTCGCTAGTCGGAAAAAAAGAAACGGGCGATTAGAGATACAGTGCCACTGTGCAAAGTGAAAAAAAGATGTAGAGTATCTATATTGTACAAAAAATTTGCTCCGTGTCTTGAATTATTTCTCCGTATGCCAATTATAAAGTTGATACCTCCAAATCTTACTTAACCTGTCTTTCTAACAATGAATAACTACTTACACAATAAAATATTGCCAAAAAGCACGCTTAATAGCCCTTCTGAGCCTGCAACTGGGACAGCGCATCCCAAATGTCGCCTGTTTATACTGCCACTTCGGTTAAAAAAACATTTCGGTCAAGCTTACTTCGTGCATGACATGTATTTTTCATGTATATATGAGGTATTGTTCAGAAGCAGTATGCAAAAAAATGTATGGAACATGTACATGATAAAGGTTTGAAATAAACATATATTTATTGAGTGTGATTTTACCTCTCTGGTTGTCCACCCCAATTTTTTTTTTCAGACCAGATACATGTAGTTATCGTTTTGCAGCCAATAATCCCCTTATATTATATGTCATCAAATGTTAAAGTGACTTTAAATATTGGACTTCTATGTGAAATAAAGTAATTACTTACTATAATATATCAAAGCATGCTTAAACAGTAATTTGAACAAATGTTAATTTTATACTTGTAGTGCCTATTGCAGAAAACGCTACTGAGTTGCTGGTATCTTCCAACGAAGGTAATTCTAATATCACATGGTGCTATCTATATAAATACTTAGTACTTAATTGTGTTGCAATATTAAATTCTTAAATTCTGAAAAAAGTATATGCTGGATCAAGAAGTATAATATGAAGGGTGATCAAAAAGTTCGCGAACTACCTTTACATCTACAAAATCAAATTCAAAATAAAATGAAAAAATATAGCAAAACCCGAGTTCTATAAATAGCATATTTTGAATAATGTTTTGCTCCTTGCTTGTGGCGTCACAATCTGAAGATGACGTCAATATGTAGATGACTTGTGACAAAAAATGGTTGAAACAGTCGTACTTGAGCAACTAACGGCAGTAAAGTTTTAGATGTATCTTTGAAATCTCTTTCCTGTAGCCTATATCAATTTGTACATAGTTAAATAATACAAAAGACGTCATAGAAATTATATCAATGATTGACTAAATGATGATTTTAGGGAAGGAAGGGAGATGATAAAAATGATATTGTTCTGTTGCCTAGTGAAAACAAGCTGGGAAAGAGATATTTTTAGCTAAGCATTCAGATTTATATAAAGTCACCAATTTACAGTTTAAAAAATAGTGAAATATGTTCGTAAAAATATAATAATTAAACACCTAATATATAGTTTACTTTAGATTCTACACATACTGTAAACGTATTATATTTGGTTTTGTATTCATTTGAGCGTTTTGGGCGGAGAGAAACTTACGATAATTCAAGTACAACGCTAAATGTCTTGTACTTATATAAATAAGTAAAAACATAAAGAAATGCGCTAAATCAAATCTACGCCTACTTGTTCAAAAATCAATTTTCGCCAAATATCGTACACGCTAAATGTTATACATTTACAGTATTAGATATGATAAAAAAAAAAAAAAAAAAGAGGCGCCCGTACTTTATCCACACTGAATAAACGACTCTCCCAAGCAGTGGACTTGGATTTTGATGGTTGTCATGCTCATTCTAGGAAAGTATTTTCCTATCCAGTCATCTTGTTGCTGAGATTGGGCCATTTCTGACAAATTTACTGTTCTTATTCATGTTATTATGAAAGTTTTCATGCATGGAAAGAAATATAAGACTTAGAAATATCTTATAGATCACATGTTTCGTGCTTGGACAGAACCATGGCAGATGTGCATTTAAATCAGAGATGATTGAATTGAAACATGTACAACGAATACTGAAGCTAAATATTGTTTTTTTTATGACAGTTATTAATTTATTCGCGAAAATTTTTTATCACCCCTCGTGTGTTATTTTAGTACCTTTAAAAACTAAAAACTAAAAATTATAAACCTTTCAGAAAGAAATGACACTATTCATATATAAATTATCAAAAATAGCCAGTTAAAAATTAACAAGAAATGATAAGTGTAATCACTTTTGCTTGATATCTAGTAATTTTTGCTTGATGTCTAATGCTTTCTTCTCATTTCATGAGATACTGAACTACGTTCATTTCCTGAAATATTCCAAGATATCTACATAAAAACTCTTTACCTTGTTATTTCAAAGGGATTTCAAAATATTGTTTATTTTAAATTCTCTTAAAATTGTTTACATCTTTAATTGTTGTAATATTTTCCCTTTTAAGAATCTACAAAAAAATTTCTTGAGAATGCCGTATCTGCAGATAAATTCTACGAAGAGACAAAAGTATACAAAAAAGTCGAAAATGTATTCACAACAAATAATGTAGTCATACTGACAGGACCTCCAGGATTCGGAAAGACGCAGACAGCCATCCACCTGATGATGCCTCTCAGGAAGGACTGGGTAATTCGTAAAGTGGAAAATTATTTTGAACTAAACTACATCGAACGTGCAAAAAACACAGTTATTTTCATAGATAACATATTCTATGGTAAATCAAATGAATTCACAAAATGGATGAAACCTCTTGCTAAGCTTAACACGATTATAAGAGGCATGGAAAGAAAAAATACAAAATCAGAAGAAAACAAAGGAGGTGAGAAAATGGAAGAAATAAAAAGAGAATGTGAAATAAAAGATGAAATAAAAGAAGATGGTACAAAAGACCAAAATAAATGTAGGAGAATAAAAGTCATCATTACGGCTAGATCTGATAAAGTTGAAGAGGCCTGTGAATTAATGAAGAAAAGGGCAATATTCAGGGAGGACTGTATCGTAAATTTGTCACAATATGAATTGGAAAATGAGGAGAAAAAAAGAATTCTGACAAAACAATTCACATTTGCAAACGAAAAAAAGAAGATTGAAATTCCAGATTTCAAAGATCTTTTCTGGGACTGGGAAAAAGTCTTAAAATCTAAAGCACACATCGGTTTTCCTTTGTGTGCTCATTTATTTGCATTTGAAGAGGCATTTCGAAAAAAAGGAGAAGATTTCTTTTCGACGCCGACGCAAATAGTTTTAAGGCAAATTGAAGATGTTGTTCAGAATGACAAAACTAACAGAGTAAAAACTTTACTCCTTTTTTTACTTCTTATTGAAATACATAATAGAAATAAAGATCAGAAGCTTAAGTCTTCGCAGGACATCATCAAGAACGAAAAAGATTGTGCCGATTTTCTAAAAAAGACTTGTAGACTTGGTGAACATTTTCACCCCCTTAACTTTAAAAAATTACCTAACATTGCTGCGGATTTAACCTGGTCTTTATTGCGCAAAACAGGAGAAAATTCCTTTCAATTCATTCATCAGAGCGTTTTCGATGCAGTAGAAACTTACATTTTCCGGTCGTTTCCAAATAAATCAATTGCTCTTCTTCCATTGGATGTTATAGAGGAACAAACAAATGACAAAGAAGGGATCACCTGGATGAAAGATGAGCATTTTAGATATTTGGCCAAAAGGTTTATTGCCGAGATTAAATGCGGAAAGAGTTCGCATATCTGCAAATGTGATATTTTAAAAAGGTCAGAATTTATTCAGTTTTTTTGTGAGGAAGTCTCGATACTTGATGAAAGAGGTCTAATTGATTTGTTAACTGCAAAAAGTGTGGCATCACCTCAACTTCCAATAATTTTCTGGTTGGGACGCAGTGAGAGTACACAACTATTTCAAAATCTTATTTCAATTATGGAACAAAAAACCCATGAAAAAATTGACTCCGTTGATCATATTTATTATTTTTTATTTGGAGAATGCACAAAAGGTGAAAGCCCCGAATCTATATTTACCGATGACAAATGTAGAGACATAAAAAAATCAGTTTTGACCTTTAAAGATAAAACAAGGAATACTATTCTTCATATTCTGATTCAGTCTAAGATGGTGGAAGACGACCTTGCAACCAAAATTCTCAAACAATTGACACATGAAGAAAAAGACAATGTAGATATCAATGCCAAGAACAGAGACCGGAAAACTCCGTTGATGCTTGCCGTAACTTGGCCCCTCAGTCGGAAGCATGTCATTGAAGAATTGGTCAAGCACGACTGTGATGTTAAAAGTACAGATCGTAAAGAGAATTCCGTTTTTCATTACTGTGTTGATGCAGATACTGATGACTTGACTTGTGCAAATGTGATAAATACCCTTTTAAGCACCAAAGAAAAATTACTCGTAGATCTTTCTACAGACAACACTGATGGTTTAACTCCTTTGAATTTAGCTTGTAGAAACACTAGAAATAGTAGAATTTTAAGCATATGTAGCCTACTTCATTGCGGTGATTCTTCCAAGCAAGAAGACAATACACAAAATGAAAAGACGCATTTCCCTTCTAAAAATGAAAAGAAGAGAGTGGGAAAGGTAAATTATTCATATGAGCAGGTAAACAAAATAGACAGCGAAGGGAGGAATCCCATTTTTAATGCTGTTTCGTGCTTCACAGTAGAAGATGAATTAGTGGAGATGGAGCGGTTACTTCGAGTTTGTATATTGTTGCTATATGGAGCTGACCCACACGTCAAGAGTGATGACGGAGATAAATCTGCTGTTACATTTTGCATGGAAAAATCCTACAGCGACCTGGAAGAAATTATGGCATCAATTAAAAATACCAGTAAAAATGAAAAGAAATCGACAGAATCTCTTATGATCGATGCTATAACAAAAGGGTTAAAGCGACTTTCAAAAAATCATGCCATTGGTGACCATATCGAAATAACGATGAAGTTTTCAAACAACATCCAAATATCAGAGGAACTGAAGAACGTTCTTTCAAAAGCTGTGCAGTACATGGCAAAAGCACAGTTTAACCAGAACTCAGAAAAGTAAACTTTGAAGCACTGTTTCCAGTACTTTTGTCACATTGACTGTTATTAAGGCACTTTTAAGGCCTGTGTTTAAAACTGAATTGTTCGTTATTTGGTAGTCTCTCAAGATCAATGAAAATTATACAATAGTTTCAAGCCTCAACTTTTCGATTATTATTTAATTACAAATTTTATATTTAAGAACATCATAATATTTAAACCTTGTTTGCGTCATTATATTATATTTTTTACTATGAAGCTCAGCATTTTAGTCCTCGATAACGTAAAATAAGAAGAGTGTGGAGTCAGAAGTCGTCAATAAAATGCATCTTTCGTTTCATTTATTTTGAGATATTACAAATGTTTTTGATACTGTTAATGAATGAGACCCATCACTTCGGTTAAAAAAAAAATTTTCTTGACATTTATATGTAGATTTCATGCGAAAATGAAATTTATAATTATGTCTAGATATTTTTTATGAGTGCATGGCAAACATGTGAGTAGACATGCAACACTCTTGAAAGAAGTTTGTTACTTCAAGTTTTAAGGATAATTGAAAGAAAGATAATAATAATAAAGATATTATATTTCAAAATGAAAGAATTATTATCAAATCCGTGTATTAAAGAGAAATTATACAAAACATATAATAGTGATAATAAAAGAAATATTCTAAATATCGTATAATTGCGTTAATCAGGTCTTGAAAATAATCCGCGAATTTATTCATGCTCATTTTAAAATTTATCTTTTATCAAATTTTCTTCCATTTTTTTTTAATACTAATATATATATACAGTACCAAAACAAGATTATTAATAAAGTTATATGTTATTTGAATTTTGGGTCGCGTGTCTTCTTGTGCCTGCCGTATGGTTAATATGAATTGTCACAAGATCCTACATTTGTATTTAGATTGAATGTACATACTACATCAATTAGATTTTGTACATGCATTACCTTTGTTAGCAGATATTCACATTTTCCTTTTGTTCCTGTATCAATATTTTGTGTATAATATATATTGTGTTATACAGGAGAGGATTTCTGAGTTTTAAGAACGTGTGTCCAATTCTTTTGCTTTGACATCTAAACAATAAAATATGTTGAAATCAAAATCCTACATTTGTTACTGCAAATAGATATTTGATATGTTCTTAATGACATAAAACTGCTAAAATTAATTGCATTCAAATACGCCTAATCAGACTCACTCTTGTTCTCACGATGAAATGAAAGAAAAAGTGAGCAAACTCACATACTCCACGCTCCCCCAAAACTCAAAGTGCTAAATATCCAGGAAAAAAATAAAGGAATCGGAATTTCCCGGTAATATGCACATCTACACATTATGTCCTAAATACCTGCAAAGTCTGACAAAATTGTGTGCGGCGGTTTATGAGGAGTTGCACTGACAAAAAAACAGGACTGAGAGACAGACGGGTCAAAAACATTATACCTCACGCAACTTCTTGCGCGGAGTATAATTACAATTAATACTGCTGATTGTAAATAATTATTCATATTTTGAAAAATCTTTCTTCTCCAAGTTACATTCATACAAACTTATTAAGTAATCATAATTATGTAAATATATGTAGTGCACTGTTCTTCCTTATATATGCCAGTTTATATATATTTGTTCAAATGGTGATTGTAATCTAATTCGCCCCATGCGGGCTCATCAGTAGATTTGAAATTCAACTTCAAATCTACTGATGAGCCCGCATATATATATATATATATATATATATATATATATATATATATATATATATATATATATATATATATATATATATATATATATATATATATATATATATTAGAGTATTGTCTGTCAATGTAAATCTGTTTTTGAGACAAAGTCAAGTAGAACAAAATGTGTTGGTGAAACACTATGCGCCCCGGCGGCAACAAAGTTAAAAAAAATCTATTTTTAGCATATCTTTCATAGTCAAGGTCACAAGGTCATATACCTTGGTGTCATTCGAAAGAACTTAATGGGTGGAGTATTCACATCAAATATGAAGTCCCTTTCTCCTATTGTTCAAAAGTTAAGGCAAAAAGTGTAAAAAGCTATTTTTAGCATATAGGTCACAGTCAAGGTCACAAGATCATTGACCTTGTTGACTTTTCAAGGAACTTTATTAGTGGCGTAAGTATACCAAATATGAAGTCCCTATCTCCTATGGTTCAAAAGTTTTGACAAACAGTGGAAAAAGCTATTTTTAGCATATAGGTCACAGTCAAGGTCACAAGGTCATTGATCTTGATGTCATTTGAAAGGACTTTATTAGTGGTGTATGCATACCAAATATGAAGTCTCTATCTCTCAAAAGTTATGGCGAAGGTTAAAGTTGATGACAGACAGACAAACAAACAGATAAACAGACGAACAGACAGGACAAAAACAATATTGATCCGGGCACATAAATAATGTTAGATGATTGTTATAAATTTTAATTATTTTAAACTTGTACAGTATTTTTGCAGAAATGATCCTTGTAAAAACAAGAATAGAAAGAAATAAAATCATAATATTCATAATAGACTTACATCTTTTATATCTGTATAAAAGTATGTGTTACATGTAATAATGAAAGGATTTTTTCCAAAGCAATCCATAATCATTTGTTTAAGACTTTTTAGTTTTTACAGATTACTGTGAACCAAAATACTAAATAAGTTTAATCATAAAAAATAGAAGATCATTGTACATGTTTATCCATAAATGAAAAAAAGCAAATTACAACAAAGAATTACATTTTATAAGGAACCAGATAAATTTTTTTTCAAATAAAATACTTTACTTTTATCAAATGAAAGTAGTTAGTTGAAATAGGTAGAAACCTGGTGTTGATGCCAATTGTTATTGCATAATTAGAACTGGGTATTGGCCCGAGATTTCATATTGCCATATATTGCAATATTTTCAACGTAATAAAAATTACATTTTTTCACTATATTTACTTTAATTTACAAGCAGAATGTACATAACTAAGATAAATAACCAACACGGAAAAAAATCTTAAAAGTTATGCTCTGAAATGTTCCCACAAAACAACTTCTGTCTTAATGTTTGGCTTAATAACAAAGTTTCATAAGTCCATTTTTATATTTAATGACAAAATTCCTTAATCTAAGCATATTGCCAATATATCGGTATTACAAAATCGTATTGTGATACAATATCTTTTGTCATTGTATTGCAATATATTGAAATATCGATATTATTGCCCAGCCCTATGCATAATGCATAAACAAACATTTAAGTAAAAATAAGGAACAGATTTACAATGAAAACAATTGATGCTCAACGTAAGGATGACATCAATCAACATATCAAATGTACACATAAAATTATTCATGTAAATTAGTATTATGTGGCAAATATTAAAATGCAAAATAAAAATTCCAGAATTTAAGATATGCATGAAAAATTGATATATCATTTGGAAAGTAAAAGAATCAGATGTAATACTTGTACAAATCAATTAATCCCATCTCACTCTATTGTTACTTATTAAATGAACTAATATAAATTCTACATTCTGTAGTTAATCATTTTAGCTACAAGTGCAGCAATTGTCCTATATTGTTATGCTTGCAATAGAAATGCAATTTTGTCAATCATAAAGAAAGTTAAGGTTCACGTTATTATGAGGTCACAACTTTCACAAAAAAAAAAAGAAAAAGAAAAAAAATAATAGTGTTAGGCATCCTTATGTGACTTTGTGTAGGAAAATAAAATGACATGGGAAATAGTCTAAAGTGTACAAAAGAACAATTGATCCAGGAACTTTTGTGTGTATAGAGGATTAATCTAGTAGGCAAAATTACACTTGAAAGGACTTTTTATAATGTCTTCATAAACTACAGTGAATGTATGATGTTAAGTGCATGAAAAAGAATTATCAAATGATAAAATTCAAATTATTAGCAACAAATATGATAATTCACAAACAGTGAATTTAATATTAATGCCATAGTGCATATAAAAATAAGCTTTGAATCTGATGTACCTTTATATAAGGAGGTGATCTTATGAAAATGAAAAAAAACAGGAATGGGTACAGATGACAAAACAATTAAACTGATATGAATAACATTTTGCACATTTTACAAGAACAGTTGGACTTCAGTACATGTATTTTTAAATATCAATATCTCCTATACTACATCAAAGTGTTTTGAAAGTCCCAGTCATGTTTTATTTTAGAACATTTTAATCTCTTTATCTCAAATCTTTAGATATCTTTGTTTATATTAATTGGTCCCAGTGAGTTTACGATAATGAGGACTGACTGTATATAACAACCATACAATAACAAGATTTTCTTTTCAATAAAATTTACAACAAGAAAAGCATCAGTATAAAATATAAAGTTACACAATTGGAATGAATTAAAAAATATAAACAATTGGAATGAATTTCAAAATATATATTTATAAAAATTATCAAAAATGATATGTTTTTGAAGTCATTATATATTCCTTTGAAAAACAATGGCACAACCTTGAAGATATAAAATAGCTTCTTTTTCAAAAGTTTTCATAGCTTGTATAAAAATCTCACTAATAAAAGGCTAAAAATCATAACTATTGGATTGTATATGACATGATTGCCAGCATTGCACTTGTTGCCTTTGCAAAAGCAGTAGTTAACAGCTCGTTGGTAGGTGGTGATAAATTTCTTACAACCGATGTAGTCTGTAACTGGCTCCAACACTGAAAAAAAAAGACCGAGACCTTTAAAAATACTGCTTATAATCACACTTTACAAGACTGTATTTTCACAAGGGATATAAATCTGATTATTCATTACAATGCACAAGTGGAGAGAACTTAAGTGATGATGTATATATATATTTTTTTTCAAATGAAAAATTGCTTTGAAGTTCTTTGCATTAAAAATGTTCAATATTTCTTTAACCATTACTTTAAACATCTCATACTTTAAGATGAATTAAATTTTGGATTTTTTGTGAATCTTTTGAGGAATCTCTCATATTGATTAAAAACATTCAGATAAAAGAAAAAAACATTCAATTAATAAAAGTGATAATGACCTGTTCCCAAGCTTTGTAGCACTCTATAATATTCAATCTGGGAGTAACATTTTCTTCTGGCGACCTGATATTCTACAGAATAAAATGAAGATTTACAGAAAAAACAAATATTAATGCAATCAAAATAGCACACATCCTATTTGATTTTATTTGCTCCTTAAACATGTTAAAGCAGTTGATTTAAACAATATTAATTTTATTCAGAAAACTGACTGCATTGGCCAGCAAGCAAACTGCCTTTGAATACCCTCTCTATATAAGGTGAGGTCATGGGTAACAAATAAAGTGAACTGAGTTAATATTTATAAATATAACAAACAGTTGATGAATTGTCTGTGTTTTTCGATGCCAGATACATGTTGAGCAAATTTTTTTCACATTCATTTGATTTGAATTATTATCATTTGCATAATTATACAGTGTATAAATGTTCAAAGTTATCTCAAGACATGTTAAAATATTATCATGCACTCATTATTAATCATTGTCAATCTGTGCTTTCGTTTCGTCAAGCAGCCTCCAAATACACTATATCAAATGCAAAAATTGAGGTTTGTTTTCAATTTGATAATGTGGAAGGGGGACATAACTCTTAATAAATTCGCCTAATAATCTTAACTACAACATATTATCATTTTCTACATCACTTTCAGTTACCAAAACCTCACCAACCACATTCTTCACAAGTGACCCTCTTGTTGCCAAGTTTTACAGAAACAGTTAAAGGACCAATTAACATTAAATTCAGATAAACCTATTCTGAATGAAATAATTTTTCACAATTGTTTTTTTATTTTTCTAAATTATCACTTAAAACCTACCATCGTCCCACTCTTTGGAGCAGACATGACACCCTGTTTCTGTTCCTACCCCGGAGTCCTCGGGTTTGAATGGTTCCACATTACAGTAACTACAGGAGTAACAGGTCAGACCATTGGTTTCTTTGTCGTAGTCATTCCCACTGCCTGGACCCTGTCCCCCGGGGATCACAATCTGCTCATCCCAGTTATTCTGGAACTCATTGAAAGAGCCATCACTCCAACCTTTGAAAAAATATCAGCAAAAGGTATTATTCTTCAAACAATCTTTCTTTTATTTGATACTAGAACATATCATTTAAGAGAAATTTTATGCAGTTTTTAATGGCATTGTTTCCCTTAAGATTGGCCTTTACCATTTTCTATTTCCTGCAATTAACTGTAGCAGCAAAAATTTATATGGGGATAAAATTTTATTATTTATTCAAGACATTTAAAAAGGTTTTGCGCACTTTTATTTCATTGTTTGGAAGTAACAATTCAATATTCAATAAATAGATATATGCAATGTTGAATGGGATTAAATTTTGTTGATAATTGTGAAAAAATAAATAAAAGTTAATCCCCAATGAATATTGCTGCTCTTACAGTAATAACAGTTGTAACAAATTAAAAAAAAAATTAGAATAAAAATCTCCCATCATTTTCAACATTAGCTGCAATATAGACATCTTTTTTTCTTTATTTTTTTTTGATTGGGAGAGGCTAAGGCATAGGATAAACAAAATCTGAGAGAGCTACAGTGTACATTATTGCAGATAGTTAAATATACCTCCAGGATTACTGCCATCTGGATACAGGTTCCCCGGATTAGAGTAAGGAATCTGCCTTATCCGGAGCGTGAATCCGATTTTGCTGTCTTTTTTATTGTCAGTAACAAACTGTACAGTCAGTTCATTCTGTGTAGTTTTGAAAGATCTCAGATTGGGGAAATCTGCAGAGGATCGGATTTTCCCACACAGACCTCCAGGAGGAAATCCAGGGATCAGTCTGGCATTGTCAACACGGGGCCCTGCAAAGGGGAAAAGTGTCAAATAAATATGAAATTGTGGGTTGGATCGAGTGAGAAACTTAATCTGATTAACATGTATTTTGAATAATATGACAAACCATTAAAAAGTTTCAAAAAATCTTTGCAGTAGGATGGAATGCCATCTTCGTTAACAGGGCCATGGTTAGCATCAATGTCCAGGACGTCTAAACTGACTGTGATCTGGTGCTCTGGTTTGGCCTTTATAGATACAATGCAGTTCCTTGAGTCCTGTAAAGAAGGAATGGCTTTGCTATTACCATGTCAATAAAAGTTAATTGAAATGAAACATTTGTGTATCATGGTCAGAATTGGTGCCATGATCACCCACTGGACTTGCAGGTGCTGGAAGGACTAAATGAGAACTTTAAGAGTGTAGACAATTTAAGGAGCAAGGCATGCTGGTCTGGATTGAGAATATAAGCCTGGGTAGCTTAGTTGGTAAAGTATCTGACTATAGTAACACAGCCGTTTCGCTTTAAATTCATGATCCATGCAGCCATACATTTTTGCCTTTTCTGTTTCAGGTTTGCAAATTTTCAAGGGAATACATGTAAACTATCTTCTAATTTGGTATCTGCAACTGTTAATGCTATCAAATTTAATGGTCAAGACACTAGGGATGAAACGATACACCTCCTTCACAGTTCGATACATATAAATTGTAAAATTTGGTCTCAGTTCTGTTATTTTTTATACAAATTACAACACATTTTGACAAAATGAAACAAAGTCAACTGTTGTTTTCTACTTCCTTTTACTAAATGTAGTAAAATATTTTTCTTGCAAAAGAACTGAACCCAAAATAGAGATTTTGTAACGTGTATCAAACCGAGGAAAAATACTGAGGTGAATCACTGTCAAAAAGAACAATAAAAGATATCTCACTGTTCTTTCTCGACAATTAATGGTGATCAGGTAGGTGCAAAGCATTCTTGAACGGACATTAAGCAAACAAATAAATGCGATGCTTATCCTGTATCATACCTGGTAAAAATTATAAGACTGCGACCTCACATCCTCATATCCATCTATGCTGTTCTGAAAGTTGTACTTGGTTCGATAATACGCTGGGTTTCTACAATACTCTTCATAACAGACAGAACAAAACTCATCTGTTTGCAAAATGATGTCCCCTACAACAGGCATAAAACATGAGATATTTTGTAAGATGATAAACATGAACTTCATGCAGGCATAGTGAACAACCCATATTTGGCAAGATTTAAAAAAAATAGAATCTTTTTAAAGATATATATCATGTATTTGTAACCCCTGTTCTTTGTTACTTGAAAAGATAGTCTTGTAACAAGGTTACATGTGAACATAGGTAATAGTCAGCACTGATTCCTTGCCATATCTCCGACATTACACATGTTAGAAAATCCCTCCTCATTTAAAATTTACAAAAAATCGTTAAAGCCAATAATGTCTTTCAAAATCATAGGCACTCCCCATCTTAATTGTTAAAACTAGAGGTACTGTGAGCGATGAGCTCACTAAATGATACCCCCCGCCTCCCATATGGTTAAAACTGGTGAAAAAGTCCATGTTTTCCTGTGGCTGGAAAAACTCAAAATATGTGTCGGATCAAAAAGTAAAATAGGAGGTGCACAATGGCAATATGTAATAAAGATTCTGTGAAAGTTGCATCAAATTTTACTCAGTGGTTTAGGAGGAGTTGCGGATAAGAGATGGGTACCCCAAAGCGTAACAGACGGACGGACGGACAGACGGAAGGACGGATGGACAGACGGACGGACGGACAGACGTACAGACGGACGGAATTAACGATTACTATATACCCTCCCGCTTTTCAAGCGGGGGGTATAAATACCCTCCCGCTTTTCAAGCGGGGGGTATAAAAATATATCTCTACTATACTATAAACAGGTTTAGGACCAATCGCCCAAATGGGATATAATAGTCCATTTGGGATATAATATCCCAAATGGGCTATAAATTTACAGTGCAAAAAATGAAATTTTTTATTTTGGCTATAAATCTCAAAATTTCGTATTAGGAAACTTAAAAAGGAAAAACTTTTGGTTGACAAATTTTCCTGTATGCCCATTGTTTAGGAGATTGATCCCTCGGAAGTTCAGTAACTTCTTGGGGATCAATCTTACAAACTGTTGGGTTGCAGATAAACTTGCTTACCAAAAGTTATTCCTTTTCAAGTGTTTTGATGCAGATTTATGATATTTATTGCTAGAATAAAAATTGTCATTTTTGCCACTGTAAATTTATAGCCCATTTGGGATATTATATCCTAAACAGACTATTATATCCCATTTGGGCGATTGGTCCCAACCTGATAAACACTGTTTATAGTATAGTAGATATATATATTTTTTTTTAATAATTAAGATAGAGAGAGAGGAATAATTCACTTATTTTATGATTGTATATATGTGATTGAATTTTGGAATGAATTTGTAAAATGGTTTAATGTCATTGAAAAAGATTATAAAATATCCAAAAGAACTGTTTTCATGGTAATGTAGAAGGAAGTTGCTTAGAAAATTTTCTTATATTAGTTGCAAAAAAAATTATTTACTATTCATGATCACAAGACAAAAAGTCATTATTTAGGCCATCCTTAAAAAAATGTTTTTTTGCGGTAACGCGACCGACTCACCAAAATCCACCCTACTGGATTTTTTTTATCGGTTCAAAAATCTTCTTTTTTTTTTTACATATTATCCATTTTCTGTTTTTATCCGATTGATATCTTTTTTACGTCTCCATTGCACCTACGCTGTTTTTAAAAAAGAACTGATGTGTTCTTATATTTGGGCAATAAAAGATTGAATTCATTTAGAATGCTTTAATTTTCTTGTTTGATTAGTAAGGTGAAATCTAAGAAATAGTTAATACCTCTACATTTTGTCTCAAAAAAAAAAAAAAAAAAAAAAAAAAAAAAAAAAAAAGCCTACCTACCTACTCACACCTAAAATGAGGAGGCGCGTTACCGCAAAAAAGGATTTTTTTAAGAATGGCCTTATTGATGCAGTAAGATAATTAAAGTATTACAGAAACAATGAACATAGAAAAATATTGTGAAAAAGTTTTTCAATATAAGGAAAACATACTCAGTAAATGGGCCCTGTATGATAATGTGTACAACAAGTGATGAAAAATCAAATTTAGATTGTACTTTTGTTATATCTATACAGCCGGAGCTGCTATATACTCAATTTGGTATATTTGTTTTGTTCATGGATAAATCATATGTATAACTGTCATATATTTACATCTATGTATTAATTATTTAAGTTTAGAAAGTGTACTGTGTGAGTGTGTGTAATTGTGGTGGTGAGTGGGTGGAAATTGTATTCTACGGGTTTGTATTTATCAGTTTATGTAAATCATTGTAAATGGAAAAAAGCTTCAAAATAAAACATAAAAAAAAGATAGGGAGTGCCTATGTTTAAAATAGGTAAATATAACAAATGCACTGGGAAAGGGCAATCCACGAAAGTTACATATGTTAACTTTGATAAGACTTACCCGCTATAAATGATATTTTTAAAAACATAAACAAAACAAATTTTTCCATCTTGAAATCCGGAAATGAATGAATTCTTAGGAGACTCGTTCATCAAATATTTCGATTAAAAATTCTCGCTCACCGTCATTTGGACGCTTTGATTAAAAAGTAAACATGGCCACGGTTGAGTCTATGGTTGTTGAAGAGCAAAGAGAGCCGGAAAAGCCGGTTGATAGAGAAAAGGTAACATTCTAAACGCGTGTTTTTCAATCAGACTTGTATTCTACTTTTCATCAGTAAAAAGTCAAACGCTGTGCAGCATGTGAAAGACTTCTCAACTCTATACAAGCTATCCAATGTTATGCATTTTTCTAACGTTTACATTAAAATTAAAGGCCTATTTTTCTATTTCCCCAATAATTGAACAAATTGAAATGTTTTTAGGACCTTAAAAAGACCTTAAAAACCTACAAGAAATCTGCATAAATTTTCAATCTCCAGTCTGAAATGAATTGTGATTCCACAGAATTTTAATGATTACCATCAGTTGGAAAGGAATGAGAATCTAGGAAAGTACTTTGCAGATGAGCTCATTGAAATATCTTTCATGGTCGACAGAGAAAATGCCCATTCAGAGGCAGGTCTAAGGGGGGCCATAGGCATCCGGCATATTCTCTTTAGAGAAGTGGACAGGCTTTCGCCTACGTGGATGTAGGCGAAAGCCTGTCCACTTCTCTGAAGAGAAAAGCATCCAGCAGTGACCATGTTGAGAGCCCCTAATTTTGTCAAAGTAATTAAAAATTCACTTAAATCATACTTTTGTCAAGAAAAATGTAAAAAAAAAAAAAAAAAAAAAAAGCTACTCGGTCTACTTTATTTTTACTCTGCAAACATCTAGAATCAAGGAGCTCATGAGGGGTCACCCCCTGGGCCCCTTCTACTTCTAGGACAAAACCATGAAAACCCTAGAGTGGACACACTGCCTACTATAGTGCTTTTTTAACTTCAGTCCCTGGATCCATGTCATCCATTAAGCATGGGACAATGTCTTGTTGAATATACTGCAAGATTGATTTAATTTTATGGACACAGAAGAACTAGTGAAATATCTTTCCTAACATTTTGTGAACCACATATACATGTACTAACAAACATTAATTTAAAAGAGAAGCTAATTCTCTTGTGTTACTTGTACACTTTTATTGATGCTAGCCAACTGTTCCTATTAAATTCGGCTAAATCTTTCTGAAAACCATTACTTTTGGAAGTCAATAAATTTCACACTCTTAGACAAACCAATCTAAAGAAACATTAATCAACATGAAAAAAGAATTATGTTTGTTAACATGTGATTTCAGACCTGTCCTCTTCTTCTAAGAGTCTTCAGCAATCTAGGACGTCATAATCCAATGAGTGATTACCACAGGGGACAGACCCCAGCTAATGAACTTCAGATCTACACATGGTAAGTCACAGGGGACAGACCCCAGCTAATGAACTTCAGATTTATACATGGTACTAAGTCACAGGGGACAGAACACCCCCCCCCCCCAACTAATAAAAATCAGATCTACACGTGGTAAGTCATAGTGGACATACCCCAGCTAATTAACTTCAGATTTGTACATGGTTAGACACCGGGGACAGACCCCAGCTAATGAACTTCAGATCTACACATAACAAGTCTGACACAAGGGACATGTACATGAACAAACACTGTCTGTAATACATTGATTTTATTATAATAAGATATATCACATTTAACGAGGCTGGGGGGTGGCAGCCATTTTCAGACTATTTCTATCTCCTTTAAAAGAAGATCTCCATATAAAAATATACAAAAATGATCAAATTTTAAAACTAAAATGTATGATTTTTTTCTTTGCCTAATGATTGTTGACAGCTTAAGAAACCGTATCTAAAAAAATAAGTTAAATCTGGTGGTTAATTTGTGGTTAACTTGCTGACCCCCCAGCCTCCTTAAAGGCTAGTATAAATCCTAGTATCATATCTGTCACAGATATTAAAAAAAAAAACAAATTAGTTCACTTTTGTCTATGTCTTTGTTAATATACTGAAAAACCAATTTTTACGAGGAAAAAAAAAACTAATTTATTCCTCATGTTTGTTTCGTGAACAGGCTAGATGCAACCCTGAAAGAGCTGACAAGTCTGGTCAAGGAGGTTAACCCAGAGGCCAGGAGGAAAGGAACGTTCTTTGATTTTGCCATTGTGTATCCTGATCCAAGGGCACCAGTTTATAGACTGCGGGAGATCGGAACCACCTGCGCCGGTCACCGCGGCCAAGATGACGGAATTAGCCTCGCCAGTAAAAAGTTTGTCATCGGAGATTTCCTGGACATTGCCATCACTCCACCCAGAAATGACAGACCAAATCCAAGGAGAAACAGACCGCCATATTGAGTGAATGAATTGAGTTTTGTAAAAGAGGAATCTTTGTGAAAGGATGTTTTGTAACAGATAGACATATGAAATACTTGCATGGAGTATATATGAGATTTCAAAGTACTTTTTATTTTTTTTCACCATTCACATTCTCATGAGAAATGTGTTCATTTCAATCATCATTTTAATACAAACGTGCAGCAATTGCTAGAGATGATGATCTCTACTTTGAAGTAAAATTGAAAAATTAGATCGAATTTTCTTTAATACTTTAATTTGCCTTAAATGTTCATACATTCTTTGGACATGTAATTAGAAAGGAGAAATGCACGAAGAAAACATGTGGCTGGACTGGGAATTGAACCCGGGACCCCTGTATTACTAGTCAGGTGCTCTAACCATTGAGACATCCAGGCCGATATCCACGGTCCGTAAAGCCGGAACCTCTACAGACATATAAGGCTTTGTCTAAAGACTAGGAGTACCTGATTGCCTAGCTTTAAAATGTTTTCAAAAATTGTGACTTCTGGAATATTTCTGGCGACATGGTGATTATCCCTTTTTAGCTAGCTCACCTTACCTGAAATCTTAAGTGAGCTCCTCTGATCAAATTTTATCACTCTTCGGTTTATTAGTCTGTAAACTTTTAGCAATTTCATTTTCATTTGAAGAGTCACGGGATCAGAGTCAACCATACTTAAGAGTAAGAAGTATCCTTTAAAGAGAAACCAAGTTGAGGATTGTGGACTTTTAATATCCTTATATCATCAACATATTTGTCGATAGTTTGCCTCGATTTAGGAATTGTTCGTATGTAGAGTATGTTCTTGCGTATCGAACCAACTCGGATATCATAAATAAATGAAGTTGGTGAATGAGAATTTCAGTGAAGTCATAACTTTTATCAATATATTTTGTTGTTAATTTGGACTTCAATTTATTGTAGGGAATGTGTTGAAAGTCGTATACATGTATATTAAGACTATGTACGAGGTCACCAATTGTTCGCAGAAATTTGTCCCATCATACTTTAAATACTTGTAAGGAATATAGTGCGAGTCTACAAAAAATCTTTTACTTTTAGCTCAGTTGATCTCATGAAGTTCATTTATATACACAAACATGGAGCAGAATAAAATTGGGGGGGGGGGGGGTTACACGCAAAAAGTTCTTCTTTCGATGTAGAGATGACCACAAATTTTGTTGTTGTTGCTACATCTAACAGCATGAGTTTGAATTTTGACCTTCGTGATAGAATGCAAGTCAATGTGACATAGCAGTTGAACGAATCTTAAAAAATCAATACCTACTGGGGCAAAGAACTAATTTATCTTTGCTTTTTCCAGACCTAAATTAGTCTTACCAATGAGAATTGACATATTTTAGCAGTAAAAATGAATTAAATTGTCAATAATATTTTGTTAAAAAAAGACAAAGCGTCTTTCACAAATATCGTATAATCTATTTGATCTCTGAAAAAAGTAGCCATATCCTTTTAGGAATAGATGGATAGATAAAGTCGTCCGTAAAGTAAACAGAATGACAAGAATAGTGATGAAAGATTTATGCTAGCAGGTAATCCGAATACCTGTCCAAACAGATGTTTTGAAAACTGCACTGATATTTTGAATTAGCAAATGATACTTCCAACTTAATCATTATATCGCTTTTTAATTTTGATTATCATTGTCTCTGTGCAGTTAAACGGAACAGGTTACTCAAGATAAAAAAGAGGCACATGGGCCACAACGCTCACCTGAGTAACCTTGGCCCGGTTTTTCTTCACCCTATGTAATACACGTGTATCTATAATGACCCCCATTCTACCCCCAGGGGTCAAAATTTGAACCATTTAATTTGTTATCTTCACTACCCCAGGATGCTTTTACATAAGTTTATTAATACATGTGTAATCGATTCAAGCCAAGTGGTTCTTGAGGAGATATTATTTCAATGTAAAAATTGGATTTTTCTATTGTGCTCATCCATTCCCCAAGGGGCATGATTTTAAGAAAGAAGAATCGACACTACACTAGGATGGTTTTACAAAAGTTTTAACTTTTCTAGCCCAGTCGTTCTTGGGAAGAAGACTTTTCAATAACCTAACCCATGCAGTTTTTGCTCTTTCTTGATTAACTCCCCTTTTCAGAGGACTTGACCATTTAACAATTAAATTTCACCTTCAACCAAGATTGCTTTGTATCCGTTTCGGTTAAAATTGGCGCAGTAGTTCTTAAAAAGAATCTGAAAATGTGAAGTTAACAGACAAACAGATGGAAGACAGTCAACGGGTGATCAGAAAAGCTCACCTGACCTTTCAGCTCAGGTGAGCTAAAATAATGATCGTACATCGTATATGAATGAAAGTATAATTGTCTTCTTTATCATAGTGTTTTACAAGGGCATATAAACTAATAGACGTTCTATGGTAGAGTGCATGTGAAAAATGTAGGAATGCCATTCTTTATGCAAATAATACGATACGTTTTTATATAACGTTTGGCAACGAGAGAAGCAATACACGAAGATCATTGAAAATTTGAGAAAAAATTACAACCCATAAGTAATTCAACAAATCACAGTAAATCTTCTTCAAATATAAAAAAGGAGAAAATCTTTTACACAGTTTTTATGCAGCTAATCGGCCTATGCCCGACCTTTGACTCCAATATCACGTGGTTTATGTTACAAATGATTAAAAGAAGGGTAACAAAACGGGTAAATCAGTTTAGGCATTAGGTATTCTACAATGCAGTACCTTATGTGCATGTTGGTTATTCTACCTTATGTAGGAGGGGGGCCTGTTCATCCAAGAACTGAAAAGAGCTGTATAGCGATGCACACGTTTCAAAACACTTACGATGTCCTGAAAGCAAAACTCTTTGACATCAATGCTGAGATGAGCCTACTTAAAGATGACTTGGACAATGCTATTGAACAAACGTGTGGAGTCTTAGGAACACTCGGTAATATTTTGTTTACATTTCAATTAAGAGAGAAAATTATTTTGCCTATACTATACCTTTATAATACCTCAATGAAATTTACTCCTCTATAAGGTTTATACAAATTAAACTTTCTATTCTATAGCATAAAAATCAATGACATGCTGTTTGAGCTATTAACAGTACACAAATTGCTTCTTGGGGGATAAAAGCGATTTATTTGCAAGCATCTTCAAAGCGTCTAAATAACACAGTTTAAGCGAATTAAAAATATAATTATTTGATTTGTGTAAAATAATCGTTATTTTTCATCTACATGTATTTGTTCAAATATCAATTAGTTGATACCACATTTATATTGAAAGTTGTTGGTTTTCCCCTACATTTGTTAAAGTTAATAGAGAATATATTTTTTTTAAATGAAAATTTGCATAAAAAGGATTTTTCCGAAAAATATAATGAAAAGTTATTAAATGAGAATTTTCAGAATGGTCATTTTATCAAATCCTTATTTTAAAAAAAATATATTTATATAACAAATGTACTGGACAAAATATAATTTAGTAATTATTTTGGATTTAAGAATGAATGTGAAAGTAAAAAGAAAAATTTCAACAAAAATTGTGTCGACAAGGATAAAAAAAACAGTTGAAATTCAAACTCATTTTATCATGTACTATGGTTTGACATTTTTTCAAAGAGAATTCAAATATTTCATATGTCTTTGTACGATTTGCTTTCAGGAACTGGAAACACACATTTATATCAACTAACCTATTGTAATTTCGAGGAAAAAGATGATGATGATGAATGTACGTTTAGGCCGGAGCATTTCGTTATTAATCAAGATGTTTCTGATCACACATTTGGTTCCACTTTAGGTAACTTTATTTACTAATTTACATGTATGTACGACTCGATTGCGTCATATGTCATCATAACTTGCCAATATTATTACACATCAGCTGCAAGTAAGAATGCGACTGTTTGCAGATCTGAAATTGTGAAGACTGTTGTTTAAATATTAGCATAAATTATTCTTTAAAACCCATAAAACATAACATTATTATATACCAGTAGTTGTGTTCTTTAAAAAGTTGCCACTGACCCATTCTTGGGTTTTAATGTAAAACAAATTTTCCAGTTTTCCAGGTTACTGTTTACATGTAAATCTAATGATATCCAGTACGGATTGTCACGAATATCTATGTGGAATGGCGACCCGTGTCCTTGCTGGTTATTATTATCATTGATATGCATAATCTTTGCTTACATTTTATTGCAACGTGTTTGTTTGTATATTTCAATGACCTGTACAACCTGTATTATAAGTTTCTTTGGGACCTTACTTTCCTGAATTAGAAGTACCGAGTTCAATGTCACGCCAAATTCACAAAATTGAGCTAAACACAATTGAAAAACTAGGTTTGTCGACTGTTAACTATAGTTTACAAACCGTAAACTATAGCTAACGTTTCGTTAACTATAGTTTTCATATGTGAAACTATATTTACAGTTTGTTAACTATAGTTTACGAATGCTAATTCAAGTTTATCTGTCTGTAATAAAACGTTAATGTTTTGTTGATAAACATAGATTCACGTCTGTAAACTATAATTTACGATCGTTGACTATAGTTAAGAGTTGTAAACCATAGTTTACAAATCGTGAAACTGTATTTATCAGATAATGTATGTTTTGCAATCGCAAATGATTGTTTTCGGTGTTAAGTATAGTTTACGGTTGTGAAACATAGATTATCGTGTTAACTATGGTTTACAGATGTAAAATATAGATTAACGTTGTTAACTGTAGTTTACAGTCCGTAAACCATAGTTTACAACCGATAAACCTAGTTTATATTATCGATTGTGAAACTATGATTAGCTCATTTTTGTGAACTTGGCGTGCCATAGAGTTCTGTACAGCATACGCCCGTCTCCACCGGTGAAAACTGATTATCACGGTACACTGAACAGCATCTAAGTCAGCTGCATTATACAGGACCCTTTATAGAGGGCGTCCCAAGATAAAGCAAGAGTCCGATCGAATATGACGCGGACACAATGATTTTACGAATCGTGATTAGCTTTAAACATTTCAAATATATTAACATTTTTTGTATCTTTATCCAATAGGACACGTGTACACGTATACTCCGTATTACTATTCTGGTTCAAAGCTGACGTCAGTGAAGATGTTTCAACCAGCAAATGCTTACTGCATAAGATTTTATTTTAAACTGCAGGCAGCAGCCGCGGGTTCAATAAAGTTGTACTTACAGGTAAATGTAACAGTACTTAGTCTTATTTATTGACGTTTCTCATGATGTTGTAAATTGGCGTATTGGCTGTCTCTCTCTTATCTAAATATGGTCCAAGTTGTGTAAAATACATGCATTCGCTTATTAGCAATATACACTGCTTGGCTCCTCAATGCTCAAATGCTACATGTAAAAAAAATGTTTTTAAAAATGCTTTTTAGCTCACCTGAGCCGAAGGCTCAAGTGAGCTTTTCTGATCACATTTTGTCCGTCGTCCGTCCGTCCGTCTGTCTGTCCGTCCGTCTGTCTGTCCGTCTGTAAACTTTTCACATTTTCGACTTCTTCTCAAGAACCACTGGGCCAATTTTGACCAAACTTGGTACAAAGCATCCTTGGGTGAAGGGAAATTTAAATTGTTAAAATGAAGGGACATATCCCCTCGCAAGGGAAGATAATCAAGAAAAGACAAAAATAGGGTTGGGTCATTAAAAAATCTTCTTCTCAAGAACTACTGGGCCAGTAAAGCTGAAACTTATGTGGAAGCATCCTGGGGTAGTGTAGATTCTAAATTGTTCAAATCATGACCCCCGGGGGAAGGGCGGGGCCACAATGGGGAATCAAAGTTTTATATAGAAATATATAGGAAAAATCTTTGAAAATCTTCTTCTCAAGAACCACTGGGCCAGAAAAGCTGAAACTTATGTGGAAGCATCCTGGTATAATGTAGATTCTAAATTGTTCAAATAATGACCCCCGGGGGAAGGATGGGGCCACAATGGGGAATCAAAGTTTTATATAGAAATATATAGGAAAAATCTTTGAAAATCTTCTTCTCAAGAACCACTGGGGCAGAAAAGCTGAAACTTATGTGGAAGCATCCTGGTGTAGTGTAGATTCTAAATTGTTCAAATCATGTTCCCCGGGGAAAGGGCGAGGCCACAATGTGGTATCAAAGTTTTACATAGAAATATATAGGAAAAATCTTTGGAAATCTTCTTCTCAAGAACCACTGGGCCAGAAAAGCTGAAACTTATGTGGAAGCATCCTAGTATAATGTAGATTCTAAATTGTTCAAATCATGACCCCCGGGGGAAGGGCAGGGCCACAATGGTGTATCAAATTTTTACATAGAAATCTATAGGAAAAATCTTTGAAAATTTTCTTCTCAAGAACCACTGGGCCAGAAAAGCTGAAACTTATGTGGAAGCATCCTAGTATAATGTAGATTCTAAATTGTTCAAATAATGACCCCCGGGGGGAAGGATGGGCCACAATGGGGAATCAAAGTTTTATATAGAAATATATAGGAAAAATCTTTGAAAATCTTCTTCTCAAGAACCACTGGGCCAGAAAAAGTGAAGCTTATGTGGAAGCATTCTGGGGTAGTGTAAATTCTAAATTATAGGAATCATGACCCCCCGGGGAAGGGCGGGGCCATTATAGGGGAATCAAAGTTTTACATAGAAATATATAGGAAAAATCTTTGAAAATCTTCTTCTCAGGAACCACTGGGCCAAAAAAGCTGAAACATATGTGCCAATGGAAGGATCATGGGGTAGTGTAGATTTCAAAATGTCTAAATTATGATCAGTGGGGTAGGGTGGGGTTGCATTATGTATAACAAGGGGGAAATCTGGTAAAGAACAGAATGGTCAAAGCTTCTCAGGTGAGCAATGTGGCCCATGGGCCTCTTGTTTACTATACATGTAGATTCCTAACAAGAGGAATCCTGATCCACAGGGGTCATACAATTGAAATTTTGGAAAATGCACTGTTGCAACCACTATTGAAATAACGACCACCGTTGAAATAATTATATCAATAGTGGTTGAGAGTGCATTTCAGAAGTAAACATAGTTAGTAACCACTATTGAAATACGACCACTATTGAAATAATTATATATATCAATAGTGGTCGTATTTCAATAGTGGTTATTACCTATGTTTGTTATTGAAATTCACTCTCAACCACTATTAATATATTTGTTTCAATAGTGATTGTTTTTCAATAGTGGTTATTATTTATGGTTGTTATTGACATGCACTCTCCACCACTATTGATATAATTATTTCAATAGCGGTCGTTATTTCAATAGAGGTTGCAACAATGCACTCTTGCACACCTTCTCTGTTTTAGTTTTGAGCTCACCTGAACCGAAGGCTCAAGTGAGCTTTTCTGATCACATTTGTCCGTGTCCGTCCGTCTGTCTGCCTAGCTGTCCGTCCGTCTGTAAACTTGTCACATTTTCGACTTCTATTCAAGAACCACTGGGCCAATTTTGACCAAACTTACTAAAAAGCATTCTTGGGTAAAGGGGAATAAAAATTCTTAAAATGTTGGGCAAAGTCTCCTTACAAGAGGAGATAATCGAGAAAAGACAAAAATATGGTGGGGTCATTAAAAATCTTCTCAAAAACCACTGGGTCAATAAAGCTGAAACTTGTGTGGAAGCCCCCTGGGGTAGTGTAAATTCTAAATAGTTCAAATCATGACCCCCGAGGGTTGGGGGTAGGCACAATGGGGAATCAAAGTTTTTACATAGAAATATATAGGAAAAATCTTGAAAAAATATTTTCTCAAGAAACACTGGGCAAATAAAGCTGAAATTTATTTGGAAGCACCCTGGGAAAGTGTAGATTTTAAATTGTTCAAATCATGATCCCCAGGAGTAGGGCGGGGCCACAATGGGGAATCTATGTTTTACATGGAATAATAGAGAAAAAATCCTTGAAAATCTTCTTCTCAAGAACTACTGGAGCAGAAAAGCTGAAAGTTATATGAAAGCACCCTGGGGTAGTGAAGATTCTAAATTGTTCAAATCATGACCCCCGGGGGAAGGGCGGGGCCACAATGGGGAAACAAAATTTTACATAGAAAAAATATAGGAAAAATCTTTTGAAAATCTTCTTCACAAGAACCACGGGGCCAGAAAAGCTGAAACTTTCGTGGAAGCATCCTGGAATAGTGTAGATTTCAAATTGTCTACATTATGAATATTTGGGTAGGGTGGGGTAACAATACGTATTACAAGGGGGAAATTTGGTAAAGAACAGAATGGTCAAAGATTCTAAGGTGAGCGATGTGGCCTATGGGCCTCTTGTTCTGCTTCATACCTATAGGAGCAGGGAAATTAAACTGAGGTTTCCACTGAGCAATATTTCGTGCATACTTCGTGCATCAAAGTAAAACGAAGCGTATGTTTTATTCAAAGGCAGCTTTTTCACATAATTAATAAGATTTAAACAACTTAAGAAATTACAGGTTGATTTATTGAAGAAAAAAAATTTAATTTTAAAAATGATATTTCAACTGATAGATAGATTGACGTAGTAAAAGTGTTCTTTTGACGTTATGATGAACTGATTTCTTAAAGGAGGGGTCATAGAAATGTTATAAAAGGAAAAGTTTTGAATAAAAGCTCTTGAAATTTTAAACAAAAGAATTTGAGAATCTTTTAATCTTTTGTATAAATCCTTTATATCCGTCATATTATGTAATGTTCCATAAAAAACATGGATATTTAATTATTTTGAGATGCCCCCTCCGACAACAAGAAGTTAACATGTTTTGTTTCTTATTAGGGATGGCAATTTGTAACCGGTTAATTGATTAATCGGTCGGAACGATGCTAATCGTTTAGATAATCTGTAATCGGTTAGTCGGAAAAAATGAAATATTTGTAAATTTGAACACAGTTTCCTTAAAATCCCTTCCGTTTTTTTTTTTAAAGAAAAAGAAAGCGTTGCATAGATTTTTATGTTCCCCAAACGAAGTTGGGGAACATATTGTTTTTACTCTGTTTCTTCTTATTATTATTTTTCTTCTTCTTCTTCTTCTTCTTCCTGGGTACTTTTTTGTCCGGGAGTGATCTTGTAAACTACACATCCGACTTAGGTAAAACCTTTTTAGGGTCAGTAGGCATGTTATGTAGATTTGCGGAACAAAGGTTATTTTGCGCGCACGTGCTTGCAAGAGCGTGCACGTGCAACGCGTGAAATGACCAATATAATAGATATAGCCGTAACTTTTCTACTTTTGGATGAAATGCTTTGAAACTCATAATGTGATGATATATTAGTAGCATAGACAATATGACATGGTCAAAATAGCAAGATCTCACGCGCATGCACGTGCGCTTCACTCTGATTGCCTGAAACTAAAGTCTCAATATCTTTCTTGATTTTTGACGAAATCCTTTGAAATTTTGAACATAGCCATGCATTAGGATATCCTACAACATGATATATAGCAATTATCATGAAAGCACGTGCATGCACGTGTGCTGCAATCTGATTGGCTTAAACTTTAAATAGCCATAACTCCCTTGATTTTCAACCAAACATGATGGGATTTGGAACATAGATAGATATAATGGACTTCTACAAGACGGTATGGTCACCATGCACATGCATACACGTGCGTGTACGTGCGCTGCAATCTGATTGGCTGAAACTTTGAACAGCTATAACTCCCTTGGTTTTTAACCAAACGGGGTGGGATTTAGAACATAGATAGATGAAATGGACTTCTAGAAGAAGGTGTGGTCACCATGCTCATGTATGCACGTGCGTGCACGTGAAATGAGTAAATTCAAAAATACACTTGAATGAGCGTATTTTTTAAAAATATTTTTGGGTTTAATACATTAATATTTAGTGTATTAAAATATATAGATTGTGTTGACAAGATGATATGGTCATTACGCACATGCATTCACATGCGCACGCGTGCAATGCTAAAGTTTTAATGAATTTGGTACACTTCTGGGTAAACGTTGTTAAAATCTCAAATGCATGGAGTTTGTCTTATTTAATGAAGCTTACAGGGAATATGGCACCAAAAGGGAGTTGGGGAGCGTTTGGGGAACATCTGTAACGGTCCCCGTTACAATTAGCACTAGTTATTTAATGCTTTTACACATTTTATAATTAAGAATATTTAGAGGTAATTATAGTTCTCTAGATTGAGATCGCAGGGTAATTGGTCACTTCGTAAAGTGTTAATTACTGTTTTTATACCATCGTGCAGTTACCAAGATAGTCCTGTGGTTTTTTAATGATAGTAAAAACATCACTGTTAAGCACTTTTAATTATTGTATGTCGGTATTTTGCCGTTACGTTGTTAATTGTAATAAAATGAGAGACCAGAAAAAGACCAGTTCTGATTATGGTGACAACGTAGAATTAACTACTTTAACATATGCGTTGGAAAATTATCCCTATCTGATTTCTCAATCAAGATTCATGGTTTTCTTATTTTTTCTTGTCTATTGGAATTAAAATAAATTACACTCTTATGTATATAAAATTCCCTGATCAAAATTATAAACAGAATGTAACTTCTAACGTCTTTTAACCCTTTTGTATATTTATAAAAGAGAAAATGTCAAAATATCTTGATACGACTAACCGGTCAATCGTTCGAAAAATTTTCCGGTTAACCGATTAGGAATTCTGCAATCGATTGCCATCACTATTTCTTATATATATACTAGTCTCGTAATATAAAAAATAAATAATGATACATTATTTATAATTATAAATTGAGCAAAAACTCTTGCATAATTTGTATAATTTGCTTTAAAGGGATAAAAATTGATTGGCACTTTTGTATGTAATCCAATAGTAAATGTACCTTTATTTTGAGACGGTCCATTAGAAATACCTGGGTCCGCCGTCATAAAACTTTGAGAATTCTCAAAAAAAAAAATCTCAACTCAAGTCTTGAGAAATACTCGTACTGACAATTTTAGAATAAACAGTGTTTTAGGAATTTTTCCCCCAACTTTTTTATGACACCCGCTAGGTCTGAGAATTTTGGATTTGAGAAAATTCTCAGACCCGAGACATTCTCAGACTTAAGTATGTTTTATGACAGCAGACCCTGGACGGTAGCTTTTCCCTTATACTTGTCAAGTACACTGAAGTCCATGTAAGTTACATATAGCATCAAATTAAAGAGTTCTCTATTGTAGTTTTCACATAATATCTCACCTGTTGGCTCCCTTCAATCTTTATTTTCGTTTTTTTTCTCTGCAATTATCTAGGTTCACGGTCAGATAAATTAGTATCAGAGTGTATACTTGTGGTATGGAAGCAATTAAAAATATTCTAAATTTGCATAACATTTAACAAACTAGTGAATTTTGATAGACATTTTAGCATTGAATTATTATTAATGGTTAATAAAACTTAATACTCGATCAGTACATGTATTCATTTATAAGGTAGGAGAACATCCAGGATACGCTTTTCACACCATACCTGCTACGAGTCTTCCTGCAGAGAAATGGATTCTTGCAGAAGCTAGTCCAGATCAAGAATATTTGCAACAACCATTTAAGGTACCAGATTTCATAATGCATATAATTATAGAATATGATCATATTACTTTTTATCTTTTATAGTGAGTTTTGAACCATGTTCTTGTCAATAAATGATAAAACTAATAAATGTTACGTGTAATACAATATGAAAAATATAGCACACAGATAAACGCATTACAATGCAATCAATGCCTTGCAAAATGGCTATGTATATATACTAATTGTTGTTGCAAGTTAAATATAACGAAATACAAGGCAATTTTTACATTATAAAAAGCATCAATGTTATAGTATTTTAATCTGTGTGGTCTTAAGGATAAATATAATACAAAGATAAATCACACTTTTATTTATTTCAAAATATATTTGCTAAAACAAGTGTCTGTCCTACTGAAGAAGTGATATCGGTATAGTTTTATACTTTTATTTTAGCATAGCCAGATAATTTGGTTAAAGGCAGAGATTTTTTACCGGGTGGTAAATTCCAGGTGAGGGAGGGGCTTATTTTGTACAGGTGTGAATGCCTTGGGGGCTAGCAGTCTACCTGTTGTCATCTGTCATTTAATCCCTGTACACAGGAAGTGATTTAATACACAGTGAAATATCCCAGGTGTCAAACTTTACCTGTGTTGGGGATTTTGAAACATTTTTAAAATTAGGAATAAAAGTTTTTTTTTCAATTATATATTGATTTATTTTTGGCTGCTTGAAAACGACCTACCCATATTTAAAAAATGATTATGATATCATACTATAAGTCAAATATTAAAACAAAGATTGTTTTAGATGTTATTGTATGTGTTCATTTAAAGAAAACAACTCTTGTAACAACCAAATTGTAAGACTTAATTCATTCATCCCCAGGATCCCATCTATTAATTAAATGAAAAGAGAGCTGTGTGAACTGTTACACATAGAATAAATTCTGCACTGTATAGGTCTATCCCAGGTTTTGTCACCATGAAATATGCTAAAAAAAGATTGCTTATAAATATACTGAAAGGAAAAAGAAACGCAGGGTAGCATAATATTCGAAAAAAAAAAATTTGGCCGCATGACCAAAAATTACGAAAATTGGTCAGATGAGAAATTTAGTTACTATGCACTAAAATTAGTGTTCAGAATAACTCAACCGTAAAATTTATGACGTCACATGGGGAAAACGTTAGAAAGCCAAAAACACGTGCAATGAGTTTGTCAACAAATCTTGTTGCACCATTTGATGCAGCTGAGGCATACACATTGTTTTTCAATATTTAGAGACAAAATGAATTTCTTGCAATCTTGGTACAGTTTACGGAAGTTCCATGGGGTCTGGTTTTCGAATTGCCTAATTAATGAAAAAGGCAACGACGGTTAACTAAGCAGTTTCTTGTAAATTTTCCACTATGAAACTTTTTACCCGTTGTCATAGAGGGCATGGAATGGTTTTCAATCAACCATGACGATGACGTTAATGCAAAGCAGGCTCATGTTATGAACAGGTTATCCGTCCTGTCATCTCTTTAATCGGCACCTTGCTATCCCAAAAACCGCCTTTTATACAGAAGACAATTGTAATCATTACATTCACACAAAAAATGAAAGAAAACAATTGTGAGAAATGTGTGACTTGACAATTTAATAGTATGATTTTTGAAATAAAGTTTTATTCCTGTAAATTTTATTTGAACGTTCTCAGGAGCCTTTTGTTACATTTAGCAAAACTGAAATTTCAAGAATTTATTTCTATGGTGAGAAACATTGAAAATAAAGCCAATTAAATCTGCGAGGTAGATAGGATTAATGCTTTGTGATATATATATTAATTTCCAGATTATTTTGGAAAACAGCATTCGAACTATAATTTACATTGACGACATCATGGTCTACAACGCCCGCTGTGATACAGATGGTAAGTTACATACCGGGTAATTTGAATAACCCAATCTTTGATGCTAATATCTCAAGCTACTGTAACAGAAAGCAATGATAAATACAAAAAATTAGTACTTCAGTACACTGGTTTAGAATGCAATATTTATCATTAAAAGAAATGCAGAGAATGGACACTAAGCAAAGAAATGCCAGAAGTCAGCAGGCGAGAGTTAATAGGGAATAGCAATTATAACAATGTACAAGTCAATCGACAAACAGAACAGAATGTAAAGAGGGTCTATAAAAAGAGTAAATCTCATATGTAAAGTTTCATGAAATAACCATATAAAAATTGAGATGCTAGCAATTTACCACGTGTCATACTAAACTACAAAACCATTTGATTCTGACATGTTGTGCCCTACGATAGTGATATAGGTATTTGAGTATTTGAAATAGGTTTGGATCTAAAGAAACATAGAAATCGTTCGAAATGTTCGAAAGTAACCCCCCCCCCCCCTCACTAGTATTGTCAGTCTGTACTTGGTGTTCTGTACAGAGTTAAAGACAATGAATACGCCATTGAATAAATTTAAGATAAAGTTTATCAAAATCAAGTATCCATTATTCGAATAAGGTTAAATTAAAGGATTAATGTTTTCTGTAAAACAAAAAGGTTAACATTTTACATAATGATATAAGGCATATCGGCTAGAAGTACCATCGTGATTATCTTTGCGATATTTCCAGCATAATCAATATTATGATTGGGAGATTTGCTTGGATTATTTATCAAATTAAAAGAAATTTCATTAAGACATTGTAAGATTTACAGTTTCTTTTTAATAAGAATGTACATGGACCAAATCCCAAGATGTAAGTAAAAACTCTTATGGGTATTTCAGATTTTTTTTAGTTAGATATGAAACTAATATTTGGAATAAAATTCTACATACTTATTATTTATCCTGATCTAACCTCTAGTGTTTTAGAGGTCCGCTCTGCTTCTATTTTATCTTGTTTTATGGACTTTTGATCTTGAATACTGTTCGTTATCTCCATGTGTTTCATTATTTCACATATTTAGATATGATATTAAGATTAAATCAACCAATTCAAGTTTTGTTATGTCATCACCTTTTGTTAATAAGGTGGGTCACGATACTGTGTAGTAGTAGGAAAAGTATTGTAAAGAACAGTAAAATACTAGTATTGGTACCTAAAGCTTCTTGCAGTACAATTTTCTTTCGAGAAACTAACAAAATTATTTTCAAGAATTGCACTGCCAGTATGTCACAAGGAAAATATCAAGTCGAATTTTTGAATTAGGAAAAATATATATATATATACATGTAAACAATATTTTCCTGCAGGTATACGAAGCCCTGTATGCCCCTTTGGGTCATTTACGCGAAAGGAAGGTACAAATTTAAGCTGTTATACATTTCATCCTGAACCTCTCATGTACGTTGACGCCATCAAATCTTGTAAGCGGGTCTGGCCTGATGCATCACTTCTTCAGATTGAATCTGCAGAGGAACAGACGTATATTACCTACCAAATCAATAAATCACGAGGTTGGTTAAATAAATAAATCAATCATTGTTTATTACAAAATGACAAGTTCAGTACTTATTAATAAAAATTATCAATCTTTGCGTACCAAAACATGTAAATATTCATCAGAAGTCATTTCAGTTTTCGCAAGAAATTTGGTACTAATATGAAAAATTATCATTGAGCGTGCAAAAATTTCTATCATCATAAAAAATATTATCTTATAGCAATGACATATGCCGCTGATTTTGGAATATGGATAGGAGGAAATGACGTTGATACCGAACACAAGTTTGTCTGGATCGGAAATGAGAATCCTATTCCATTTAATTATACAAACTGGCACCAAGGTCAACCTAACAACATGAATGGAGACCAGGATTGCGTGATGCTACAGTACAGGACAAACAACAACGACTATGAATGGGGAGATGTCGGGTGTGCTGAGAAGCATTCGTTTATCTGCGAGATGACCTATGACGTCAGTCACGCATCCAGTCATCAATATCCGAACACTGTGATTGGTTAAACCAGAAATCCAATATTATTTAGACATTTTACGACTCTCAATTTCACAATGAAATTTTGATGCGTTTTTTTCTATAATTGTTTATGTACAAATTGTTAATTATATGCAAAGAATGTGCCTTTGATAAGTTTGTAAATTCCTATGCATGCAATGATTATATAAATGTGGGTTTTATAAGTCAGAAAATATGTAATTATAATAATTGTTTCTACAAATTGAGTATGCAAATAAAATAAATTGCAGTTGATTCCAAATGAATTTACAAAATTTTCGTATTGGGTCGATTCGAATCTAAAAATGGTCTATTGGATGTTCTTTTCACTGTTAATCCTTATTGACTATATACAGAAAACACTTAAATAAGTTAGCTATTACAATGTGGTTAAGATCTCAAAGTCCTCGAAAGATATGCTGGATTTAATTAAATCAAGTAGAAAAGCTAAATATTAAAATCAGATAGATATGGAAATTTAAAAACCTATCAAAATCAAAAAGTAATTTTGAATTTGATTTAACAAATGGCCGCATTAGATTCCTTGTATTTAGTTTTTTGAATTCTCAAATAAAATTTAGTACAGTTCTTAGAATTCATTAAAACAAATGCCAGCATTTGATAAACATGTATCCAAATAAATTTGTTTAAACTTTTTCTAGAAATAAACTTGGATATGAATTGGAGAAATCTAGAACAGATTAGCTATGATCATTAATATTTACTCAGTATATTGAAAAACTAAATATTAAAATCAGATAGATATGGAAATTTAAAAACCTATCATAAAGTAATTTTGAATTTGATTTAAAGGCAGAGATTTTTTACCGGGTGGTAAATTCCAGGTGAGGGAAGAGCTTATTTTGTACAGGTGTGAATGCCTTGGGGGCTAGTAGTCTACCTCTGGTCATCTGTCCCCGAACCCCTATACACAGGAAGTGATTTAATACACAGTGAAATACCCAAAATGTCAAACTCTACCTGTGTTGGGGATTTTGAGACAATTTTAAAATTAATTGTAAAAGGGTTTTTAAATTATATTGATTTTTTTGACTTTTTGAAAACACCCCTAACCATTAAAAAAATATATGATAATTACAATACTAAATAAATTCAAATATTAGAACAAAAGATTATTTCAGATTTGAGTGTATGCGTTAATTAAAAATAAACTCCTGTAACAACCTAATTTGACTTTTAAAATTTATTCATCCACAGGATTCTCTCCATTAATTTAATAAAAAGAGAGTCGTGTTAACTACATTTCACTAAAAAAAAATATATCTAGTAGATTTATCCCAACCTTGATAAAGTTTTTTCACCATGAAACATGCTAAAAGACTGCTTGTAAATTCTTATCTGATTAAAAAGGGAAAATATAAGTGACCCATGATTAGAAACATTATTTTTGAATTTAATTACTTCACACAGTGCTGCTCTGAACTTTATCAATAACATTTCCACTTTATAAAATTAATGTAGATATACCATTTAGCATATTAAAATTAATATCTAAATTTCATTTGAAAAATAAAATGTACCAAAGGTTATAATTTAAAAAAAGTATATTATTTTACAATCCTTTGAAATACTAAAGGTATATTATATTCATATATTTAATATCAATCAAAAATGTTCATAGTATTCTGTATACAATGTTCAGTCAACATCAAAGGATTAAAAGTTAACGAGAAGGTAACCACGAATCCCAAACAATGTGTACAGGGTATACACAGAGACCAGTAAGTAAATGTCAATCAAGTTCCAGCATCCAATGATTGACCTTCACGCACTTGATTGACAGGGCTACCCAGACCAGGTATTTTTGAAGGCGGTGCTTAAAATCTCTGCCTTTAACAAATGACCGCATTAGATTTATTGTATTTAGTTTTTTGAATTCTTAATCTTTTAAGAACAGCTTAGCTATGCTCAGTTATATTTACTCAGTATATCGAAAAGCTAAATATTAAAATCAGATAGATATGGAAAATTAAAAACTTATCAAAAAGTAATTTTGATTTTGATTTAACAAATGACCGCATTAGATTCATTCTATTTTTGTAAGGAGTGCATATTCAAGACTGTTCATATCAATATCTCAAAGGCAGGGTAGTTTCAGAACAGATCAAATTATTTCTCACGAATACATTGAAAAAAAATTATTTTCCCTTCAGGAACAGTAAAACCTGTGATGCTCAATCATATTTATGAAGGAGCTTCCCAGGAAAGTGTAGATTTAAGATTCTGATCATCACATCCAATGGGCCGCATATAATAAAATAATATAACTATTATACATTAAATGTTCTGAATTAATTTCATTCATAATCATGCGTCTCAATTAGTTCATTGGTTAGACAGCACTGACACGATATATCAGAAATTTGGATTCTAATTCCTGCCAAGACGTGAAAAGTCTTGAAGAAGATTATCAAAAATTTGGGATAAATTTTTACTAGAAGAAGAATATGTCAACGCGAGTTTCAAGTGTGAGAAAAACAATATATATATATATATATATATATATATATATATATATATATAAAGCACAAATTACAACAACTCTTAAACTAATATAACTGCCCTAAGTGAAGAAATATTAATATAGAAAGCACAGAGAAATTCACTTTTACAAGGATACTCACTTCCGCCCCAGCCCGGGGTTGAACTCTCGACCTACGGAATCTGTCTCCTAGCAGTGCAGAACAGCGCGTTAGACCGCTCGGCTATCTAGGCAAGTTAAAAAACTTGCTTTCGATGCCGATGGAATTCTCACAACGCTGCCCTACACAACACAGTCATTGAGAATGGAAGTGAGATACAGTTATTTGGACATTAGTTTTTAGAGGATTGTTACCAATACATGTTGTGATGAAATTAATTTTTATTTATAAAGCACAAATTACAACAACTCTTAAACTAATATAACTGCCCTAAGTGAAGAAATATTAATATAGAAAGCACAGAGAAATTCACTTTTACAAGGATACTCACTTCCGCCCCAGCCCGGGGTTGAACTCTCGACCTACGATATATATATATGGGTATCCTTGTAAAAGTGAATTTCTCTGTGCTTTCTATATAAATATTCCTTCACTTAGGGCAGTTATATTAGTTTAAGAGTTGTTGTTATTGTGCTTAATTAAAAAAAAAAAAATAATTTATCACAACATGTATTGGTAACGATCCTCTAAAAACTAATGTCCAAATAACTGTATCTCACTTCCATTCTCAATGACCGTGTAGTGTAGGGCAGCGTCGTGAGAATTCCATCGGCATCGAAAGCAAGTGTTTTAACTTGCCTAGATAGCCGAGCGGTCTAACGCGCTGTTCCTGCACTGCTAGGAGACAGATTCCGTAGGTCGAGAGTTCAACCCCGGGCTGGGGCGGAAGTGGGTATCCTTGTAAAAGTGAATTTCTCTGTGCTTTCTATATTATATTCCTTCACTTAGGTCAGTTATATTAGTTTAAGAGTTGTTGTTATTTGTGCTTATATATATATATATATATATATATATATATATATATATATATATACTGCGTATCAAATAACTAATTAGTTATTGTTTGAAAAGGGCTGGCTTAGTTTGAATACCATTCGCGACATCATTTTTTCTTCCAACGAAATATTTTATCATAATTATCTAGAGTATAAGTGCATATACAGTTTGGCAGTTGGTGAATGATACAATATGGGTAAATGAAATATAAGTTCAGAGGTCCTTGAATAATATAAAGCTGTAGCAGATTAAAAACGGACCAAATAAATATCAGAGAGTGGACCAAGTGCCATTGAGAAGTGAGCATTTCTTGCCGACCGGTCACACCCGCCGTGTGCTCCTTGTCATGATCAGGAAATAACGAATAAATGTCGATAATTTAGTGTGTAAATAATGGACAAACAATTAGTATAAAAACGTCAGTCAGCATCTGACTTTTTAACAAATTGTATTTGCTATCAATTAGGATTATTGTATTGACCATAAAGCATACAATATAATGACTTTAAACGAGACTGCTGATATTCTTGTTTCATATACTTGTTTGACAATAAATAAACTCGTTTGCGAAACCGTTCATACGGAGAACATGCTCTTATGTGACGCTGAGAGATATAAACCTGTATGCAGGCGATGAAGGTGTCTTGCTGCATAAATAAGTCGATTTACAATTCGTCACGTTTACCATAAAGCTTGGTTGATATTTTGCCATTAATGATACCAACATATGATACGGATGTATCAGACTCGCTGTAGTACCTTTTATTTCCAGCTGACATCGGGACATTTCGGACCGAAATAAGAATTGAAATAACCATTGTTAATTGACAATACGTCTTCGATATTTGTTTGTGACAAAAGGTGGAATGATCTCTTGATAATCAAAACTCAGTGGGACAACATTTTTGGTTTAGCCTGATATTATTATTTAAACTTTTCAAACAGAATTGACATTTTTACTGTGAAAAGGAATTAAACTGTCATTAAAACCTAGTTAGAGCATGTTTGCCAAACATGAAATACTCTATATTTAATCTATGTAAAAATGTTCATGTTTATTAGAAAAGACAACCAAATTCGATGAGTAAATACAGGAATCTCAACATTCGTAAGAGATAAGATTTTTTTCAGGATATTGGGTGTTTGTTACTAAATTAAAAGTAAATATTCGATCGATAGATAAAAGCACTGCAAAGATGTATATTGCAAAAATCCTTCATTTGTTAGCCTGAGGAAATTTCAAAACATACTATGAACCTTTCATTTAATTTTTTGGAATTTTGGACCGGTGGAAACAAAAAAAATTGTCTTAAAAAAGATTTTAAGAATTTCTTTTGAGATTTCACACACAGAATGAACATGTTAAATATTCTTTCTAAGCTTACAAAGATTAAAAGCTAAACACTAGGTGCATTAAAATTAGAAATGTTCAAAAATATGTACAAAAAAAAAACGGTATTACATTTTGACACATACAAAAATGTAATTAAATCTAAATACTAGTATTTAACAAATTTTGAAGTCATAAAAAGAAAAACAAAGAAAACTCATTAAGGAAACTTGCATAGCAAATCTGGAACAGCCCTAAAATTGACCAATACGGTGCTGTTGAACCAACACGTGGTTTAACGTTATTCTTTTATAAGAGAAACAACTAAAC